GATTTTAAACCAAAGACTGTAATAAGAGATGAGGAAGGACACTATATCCTACTTAAAGGATCTATCCAACAAGAAGATCTAAAAATTGTAAATATCTATGCCCCTAACATGGGAGCAGCCAATTATATAAGGCAATTAATAACAAAAGCAAAGAAACACATCGACAACAAAACAATAATAGTGGGGGACTTTAACATCCCCCTCACTGAAATGGACCGATCGTCTAAGCAAAAGATCAACAAGGAAATAAAGACTTTAAGTGACACACTGGACCAAATGGACTTCACAGACATATTCAGAACATTCCACCCCAAAGCAACGGAATACACATTCTTCTCTAGTACCCATGGAACATTCTCCAGAATAGATCACATCCTAGGTCATAAATCAGGTCTCAACCGGTACCAAAAGATTGGGATCATTCCCTGCCTATTTTCAGACCACAATGCTTTGAAACTAGAACTCAATCACAAGAGGAAAGTCGGAAAGAACTCAAATACATGGAGGCTAAAGAGCATCCTACTGAAGAATGAATGGGTCAACCAGGAAATTAAAGAAGAATTAAAAAAATACATGGAAACCAATGAAAATGAAAACACAACTGTTCAAAATCTTTGGGATGCAGCAAAGGCAGTCCTAAGAGGAAAGTATATAGCAATACAAGCCTTTCTCAAGAAACAAGAAAGGTCTCAAGTACACAACCTAACCCTCCACCTAAAGGAGCTGGAGAAAGAACAGCAAATAAAGCCTAAACCCAGCAGGAGAAGAGAAATCATAAAGATCAGAGCAGAAATCAATGAAATAGAAACTAAAAGAAGAGTAGGACAGATCAACGAAACTAGGAGCTGGTTCTTTGAAAGAATTAACAAGATTGATAAACCCCTGGCCAGACTTACCAAAAAGAGAAATGACCCAAATCAACAAAATCATGAATGAAAGAGGAGAGATCACAACCAACACCAAAGAAATACAAACAATTATAAAAACATATTATGAGCAACTCTATGCCAGCAAATTAGATAACCTGGAAGAAATGGATGCATTCCTAGAGATGTATCAACTACCAAAACTGAACCAGGATGAAATAGAAAACCTGAACAGACCTATAACCACTAATGAAATTGAAGCAGTCATCAAAAATCTCCCAAAAAACAAAAGCCCAGGGCCAGATGGCTTCCCAGGGGAATTCTACCAAACATTTCAAGAAGAATTAATACCTATTCTTCTGAAACTGTTCCAAAAAATGGAAATGGAAGGAAAACTTCCAAACTCATTTTATGAGGCCAGCATTACCTTGATCCCAAAACCAGACAAAGACCCCATCAAAAAGGAGAATTACAGACCAATATCCCTGATGAACATGGATGCAAACATTCTCACCAAAATACTAGCCAATAGGATCCAACAGTACATTAAAAGGATTATTCACCATGACCAAGTGGGATTTATCCCTGGGCTGCAAGGTTGGTTCAACATCCGCAAATCAATCAATGTGATACAATACATTAACAAAAGGAAGAACAAGAATCATATGATCCTCTCAATAGATGCAGAAAAAGCTTTTGACAAAGTACAGCATCCTTTCTTGATCAAAACTCTTCAGAGTATAGGGATAGAGGGTACATACCTCAATATCATAAAAGCCATCTATGAAAAACCTACAGCGAATATTATTCTCAATGGGGAAAAACTGAGAGCTTTCCCCCTAAGGTCAGGAACGCGACAGGGATGTCCACTATCACCACTGCTATTCAACATAGTATTGGAAGTCCTAGCCACAGCAGTCAGACAACAAAAAGAAATCAAAGGCATCCAAATTGGCAAAGAAGAAGTCAAACTCTCACTCTTTGCAGATGATATGATACTTTATGTGGAAAACCCAAAAGACTCCACCCCAAAACTGCTAGAACTCATACAGGAATTCAGTAAAGTGTCAGGATATAAAATCAATGCGCAGAAGTCAGTGGCATTCCTATACGCCAACAACAAGACAGAAGAAAGAGAAATTAAGGAGTCGATCCCATTTACAATTGCACCCAAAACCATAAGATACCTAGGAATAAATCTAACCAAAGAGACAAAGGATCTGTACTCAGAAAACTATAAAATACTCATGAAAGAAATTGAGGAAGACACAAAGAAATGGAAAAACATCCCATGCTCATGGATTGGAAGAACAAATATCGTGAAGATGTCAATGCTACCTAGAGCAATCTACACATTCAATGCAATCCCCATCAAAATACCATCCACTTTTTTCAAAGAAATGGAACAAATAATCCTAAAATTTGTATGGAACCAGAAAAGACCCCGCATAGCCAGAGGAATGTTGAAAAAGAAAAGCAAAGCCGGCGGCATCACTATTCCGGACTTCCAGCTCTATTACAAAGCTGTCATCATCAAGACAGTATGGTACTGGCACAAAAACAGACACATAGATCAATGGAACAGAATAGAGAGCCCAGAAATGGACCCTCAACTCTATGGTCAACTCATCTTTGACAAAGCAGGAAAGAATGTCCAATGGAACAAAGACAGTCTCTTCAACAAATGGTGTTGGGAAAATTGGATAGCCACATGCAGAAGAATGAAACTGGACCATTTCCTTACACCACTCACAAAAACAGACTCTAAATGGTTGAAAGACCTCAATGTGAGACAGGAGTCCATCAAAATCCTAAAGGAGAACACAGGCAGCAACCTCTTTGACCTCAGCCGAAGCAACTTCTTCCTAGAAACATCGCCAAAGGCAAAGGAAGCAAGGGCAAAAATGAACTATTGGGACTTCATCAATATAAAAAGCTTTTGCAAAGCAAAGGAAACAGTCAACAAAACCAAAAGACAACCGACAGAATGGGAGAAGATATTTGCAAATGACATATCAGATAAAGGGCTAGTATCCAAAATCTATAAAGAACTCATCAAACTCAACACCCAAAGAACAAAGAATCCAATCAAGAAATGAGCAGAAGACATGAACGGACATTTTTCCAAAGAAGACATCCAAATGGCCAACAGACACATGAAAAAGTGCTCAATATCGCTCAGCATCAGGGAAATCCAAATCAAAACCTCAATGAGATACCACCTCACACCAGTCAGAATGGCTAAAATTAACAAGTCAGGAAACGACAGATGTTGGCGGGGATGCGGAGAAAGGGGAACCCTCCTACACTGTTGGTGGGAATGCAAGCTGGTGCAGCCACTCTGGAGAACTGTATGGAGGTTCCTCAAAAAGTTGAAAATAGAGCTACCATATGATCCAGCAATTGCACTACTGGGTATTTACCCCAAAGATACAAAAGTAGGGATCCGAAGGGGTATGTGCACCCCGATGTTTATTGCAGCAATGTCCACAATAGCCAAACTGTGGAAAGAGCTAAGATGTCCATCGACAGATGAATGGATAAAGAAGAGGTGGTATATATATACAATGGAATATTATGCAGCCATCAAAAGGAATGAGATCTTGCCATTTGCAACGACGTGGATGGAACTGGAGGGTATTATGTTGAGTGAAATAAGTCAAACAGAGAAAGACATGTATCATATGATCTCACTGATATGAGGAATTCTTAATCGCAGGAAACAAACTGAGTGTTGTTGGAGGGGGGGTGGGTGGGAGGGATGGGGTGACTGGGTGATAGACACTGGGGAGGGTATGTGCTCTGGTAAGTGCTGTGAATTGTGCAAGACTGTTGAATCTCAGATCTGTACCTCTGAAACAAATAATGCAATATATGTTAAGAAAAAAAAAAGAAGAAGGTAGCGGGAGGGGAAGAATGAAGCGGGGGAAATCGGAGGGGTAGACGAACCATGAGAGACGATGGACTCTGAAAAACAAACAGGGTTCTAGAGGGGAGGGGGGTGGGAGGATGGGTTAGCCTGGTGGTGGGTATTGAGGAGGGCACGTTCTGCATGGAGCACTGTGTGTTATGCACAAACAATGAATCATGGAACACTTCATCTAAAACTAATGATGTAATGTATGAGGATTAACATAAGAATAAAAAAAAAAAAGAAATGGTTTATTAAGGGAATTTACAGGCAGAAGCATGTTTTGTGCACCACAAGATGAATAGATCTCTATAACCCCACCTCCCTTAGGACCTGCCTGTATAGCCCTAGAGGCTGGGAGTACATGCTGAGGGACCACCCAAGGGGACAATGTTTAAGAATAGGTGTGGGTCATAGTCCTATCTCCAGGGCAGATCAAGGACTCTATGCCCTGAGGGTGTACTTAAGGATGTGGTAAAGGAGAAGGAAAGAATGTTGGATGGCAGCTGTGCTCAAGAAGGTTTCCGGTCATAGAACAGTTACGGCAGGTATGTCCAAGATAGTATTAGTCTTGTTTAACCAGGCATGACCTCACTTACATGTGGAATCTAAAAATGTTAACCTTGTAGAAACAGAGTAGAATGATGGTTACCAGGGACTAGAGGAGGGGGATTTGGGAAGATGTTAAGGAGTACAAAGTTTCAGTTATACAAGATAATTAAGTTCTGGAGATCTAATGTATAACAATATGGTTATAGTTAACAATATTGTATACTTGAAATTTGATAAGAGGGGGAAATGTGTGTTCTCACCACACCCATACACAAAACCAAAAGATAGGGTAATGGATATGTTAATTAGCTTGATTGTGGTCAGTATTTCACAGTGTGTACACATATGAAAACATCAAATTGTATACCTTAAATATATACAATTTTTAATTGTCAACTATACCTCAGTAAAGTTGAGGGGGAAGAATATTTCTTTTTTGTTCTTTTTCACAGGCCCTTTGCATTCTACATGTAAATGTACTTTAGACCTGTATATAAGCATAGTTATGGATGTTAATGTAATCATGCTTATTACATGTATATGGTTATATGCTCTTTATATGGAAATATTTATCTTTGTTTTTATACAGCTTATATATGGTTAAAATATTAAATTGAAGGAACCATACAAATTTCTCTATATTCCTCTAATTTTTTTTTATATTGTTCTAGTGGTGCTGCTTGATTCCTTAGACTCTGTTGCAGAGGTCAACCTTGATGAACAGGATAGAGCAACTAAGCTGGAGGCCCTGCCAGAAATGGCTGATAATGAAATGACAGGAACAGGTAAAGCTAGAAAACTGGCTCTTCTCTAAATATGTAATAGTTTAAGACTAGTTGACTTTATTTCTAGAGAAATAAATATAATATATAATATTATATACAATTATATCAACAATTAAAACATTTTGGTGGGGGGTTGCTGAGGGAGAGGGAGAGAATCTTAAGCAGCCTCTGCCCAGCGCGGAGCTCAGTGTGGGGCTTGATCTCATGACCCTGAGATTGTGACATAAGCTGAAATCAAGAGTCAGATGCTTAACCGCCTGAGCCACCCAGGCACCCCAACAATAAAATTTTAATCCCACATTTTTACCATTATTGACAACTTAAATAATCTGTACTTGCCAGTGGTGACACTTAATGCTAGTAGGCCAAGTAAAGTGTATGTTTAATAAAGACTTGTTAATGAATGAATGCTGTTGATACAAAGTATAGCACTATAGTGAATATTAATTAATTTTCTCTGCCCCTCCAGAGTATTGTTAAATTTGGAACATGTAGGAGAAATGAGATTTCAGTCTCACTTTGCTTTTCTACTGTTCCCTCTGTGTAGGAGAAAGCTAAATCACATTCCAAAATTTCAAAATGCCTTGGACCATGTAGACTTTTCAAAAGATTATAAAGATCTTTAAGACAATGCCTTTTCAAACTATTAAGGCAGTGGAATCCTTACCTCCAAATGAAATCTCATGTAGTACTCCCTTTGTATTTTATCAGTATAAATATAAACATTTACATTTATTACATTTACTTATAAAGTTGGTGAGAACAATAATGGTCTTTTGAAATTTTTAAAATCAGAAGTTTTAGACATTTGTTATATTCTTATCATCAGATTTCTGATATGTTTGTATATTTTATTTTTGTTGTATAATATTAAAATATTCTTGGCTTACTACATAAATAGTTGCAGCTGAGAAATTTTTAATCAGCTTGCTTTGCAAGTCTCAGTTGACTGGTATGGTCAATTAAACCAATTCAGACATTTGGAACAAAAGAGCAATAGAAATGATAAATCACTAACCAACTCTAAACATCTGCTTGTATTTTATTTTTATTTTATTTTTTATTTCTTCTTACATTTTTATTGAAGTACAGTATACCCAGGGAAAGTTCATGTATATAATAGTGCAACCTGATGAATTTTCATATACTGAACACACCCATGTAACCAGCAACCAGATCAAAAAACAAAGCATGACCAAAACCACGAAGTCCACTCAAGATCTTATTTCTAGTCACTGCTGTTCCAGAAGTCACCACTGTCTTGTTTCATCCACTTCCATTTAAAAACATAATTCTGAAAGTAAAAACATTACAACAATTTTCCCATCAAGTCATGTTACTCATTTACTTGTTATTACCCAGTTGAATATTCGCCGTAATGAAAGCGTGTGCTGAGCACATGTTCCTCAGTCTTACTGCTGTTCCAAGTACATGTCATGTGTGTGCTATGGTAGTCACCCTACATGCACAGTTGTCTGCCGACACAAATTCTTGTAAAAGACCAGTATAGAGTTACAGCTTTTCTAATCAGTGATACATTATAGGAAATGCATATATATACAGGATAGTCAGAGGAGCTGCATTCTAAGATGTGCATGAAAGCAAAGCAGGAAACAAAAGTTATCACTCTGATGGTTTTCAAAATATTACAGTTGCCTAAATGGCACAGTTGAGTGTGCAGATTAATTTCTATTTTTATGTTTTAAAGCACAATTTAAGATGAAATTTCACTCAATCATCTGTACAACCCATGATTTTCTCTGAGAAACTATGATTTTGTAAAACACAGTATGAAAACCACTGCTGTAGGTTATAAGAAAAAAAATGTATTACTGAATGAAAAAACTCTTATTAAGATGATTCAAGCAGTTATATAAAGCTATAGTTTTCTGGTCTTATTTCTTAAATGCTCTTGACTCTGAAATAATTTGATTGTTATTACTGGAAAATAGTAAGTATGATCTTATTGTCATATATAGCCTTGGACTCATAGTCCCAGCTTTGCCAGTTATCAGCTGTGTGACACTGGACAACTAATGCCTCTAAGCCTGTTTCCTCATCTTTAAAATGAGGCCTTGTGTTGGTCAACTCAGATAATGTATAATGCCTAGTATATTGTTAAGATTCAATAAGCAGTAGCACTTAATGGTTCTTACCACTATTATTTATAGCAACCTTCTGTTTAATGGTAGAAATTATAATAAAAAACTTGAAGGCATACAGTATAAATACTTATTGGCTGTGGGGTATTGAGTTTCACCTACTATTTCAAAAATACACCTGATAATCTTCAAATCAGCATATGAACTTGGTTTAAGAACTGAAAAATCAGATGGTTGTTTAGTGTGTTTTTGTTTTGTTTTGTCTTTAGAAAATGTTTCCTTAAGTATTAAGCAACCTCAGTTTAGGTGATACATTGTCAAAGATCGTCTTTTTAAAAAGGGATCACTTTTGAAATTCTTTGTGCTTTATTGTATTGGAAAGGTTGATCACTGTACAAATGAGGGTCAGATTCAGCCTTCTGCTTATTTTCATTTGCCTCCTGGGCAGGTACCGTTTTGTGCTGTGCTGCACGAGTGGAGCATTCACAGTATGACAGTATTGCGTCACAACCAGGTCCTTGCCTCTGCAATGTGGGATTTGACATTTCTCACCTCCCTAAAGTAGAAAATTAGGGAGCTTTTGACTTGTAACAAAACATTAAATAACTACCTAGGATCCTCTCTTTTTCATGTAAAAGGCAGAGAAGTCAGCCCTTTACTGATGAGGCTGTATCTCCAATTTTATTCTTAAGCATTAATTAATTAATCATGGGTATTAATAGAAAAGGAGACTACTTACCTTATTTCTCTCCTTTTCCCCCCACTCTTCTGTGACTCTTTTATTCTTTTCTCTAATTTTAAAAATTCCGGTGTTAGTAATGAAAGGTACAAAATAAGGAAGAAAAATACTTAAAAAATTTTAAATCATTATTATCATTAGAGTCTTCTTCAAATTCTTTTTTCCAGAATTTATTTATTAATTGGTGGGAGAAGGAGGAGATTAATAGGGAAGGAAGAGTGAATGATGACATCAGGTTTTCTATTTTGGATGACTGGGTGAATAGTGATGCCATTAGCTAAAATACTTGTAGTAGAACAAGTTTTGTTGGGGAATATAATTAATTCAGGTGGGGATAGATTAGATTTGATTTACTTATAGTGTAAATGTCTGTTAGAAAGTTTAATATTCAGAAAAGAGGTAAGGACAAAGACGTAGATTTGGGAGTCACAATCATATGGGTAACAGTTGAGTTAAGGGTCTTGAAGAAATTTGCCAGCTCAAAAATAAATAAATAAATAAATGAGAGGTTTAAAAAAGAGGACTGAAGATGGAACTCTGAGATGAGCCATTTACCATAAAGGACGGATAGGTAGCCATCAGAGTGGTGGGAAGAACAAGAAGAGGCTATACAGAAGAAACAGTTCCCAGGAAGAGGACAGTGTCAGATGTCTCACCGGGTTGGAGAGAATTAAAGATGGCTAGATTTGACTATTAGAAAATTGCTTTTGATTATAGCAGTGTACGCAGGATATTGGAACACATACTGGATCGTAAAGTTAGGGGAGTGAATTTCAGTTGAAGAAATGCAGACTACAAGATACTTGGTGGCACTGGGAAGCAGAGAGAGAATGCAAGAGTGAGAGAGAGTGGTAGTGGTAAGGGAGACAGAATCCTTGAAAGATTTTGTCAGCTTAGGAAATTTGGGAATAGTTTTATCCAGTGTAATGGGGTTGATTAAGGGTAATGAGAAGAGAAGGCAATAACTAGTGGAGTCAGAGTTTATTTACAGTTCCTGTGTCAGGACACATCTCAACTTGCTCAAGAGTTATTGAGCCTGCTCTGATTTTGTACTGTTAGGCTATAGCTACATATTAGCAAGGTTTGTACTTTACTCTATAATGTTGCAGTTGTCCCACCAGCCTCATTCACCATTCCAAACACATGAAGGGATGATATTGGTGTTTTATGTCTTTCATGTATTTGTGTGATTATACTGGAGATGACATTTATTCCAATAGGTGTTTCTTATGGACAAAGCAATAGTGACATTGAAGCTCTCCATCAGGCTTATTGTCATATAGCCCATTCTTTGGGAGATGCAGACGAGCAAAGAACTGAGAGTAATGCAATGGAAAATATCAAGAGCTCAGTGAAAGATTATCCTCAAGAAAATGAAGAGTCCTCTAAAAACATCTCTACTACAGAATCTGGTAAAAGTTAATTCGAGACCCTCTCCAAACAGTCTCTAGTGTGGTATAATTTCAATGCAGTTTGCTGTAGTGATTGTTTCTCAGTCTCTGAACTTAACTTAAAGGGTTTGTTAAAATGGAATTTGGGAATCAGTGGTTATAAAGTTAGAGCTGAACATGGGATAAAATTTCAATTCCTCCTTCGGTATGCCTTGGCCAAATTAGGAAATCACCTAACTGTTTTCACTTTATTTTATGCTTTTCTATACTATTAATTTTTTAAATAGAGAACAGTATTTTAGAATCAACTAAAATATATTTAACAAATGTGTGTGCATGTATGGACACAGCCATGCACATATTTTTGATATTTTATAGATACATTATATATAATATATAGATAATATATATTATTATCTATATATTATATATATATAAATCAAAGGAGATTTTCTTAGTACAAGTAAGTTTATAGTGGGAAACTGGGTTTATTGTATATGCCATTTTGTTAACTCAGTCAGAAAAAATGTAATCTTAGTGGGATTAGACTAAGTAATTCACATGATTTTTTGGGTTGCTATTTTAACTTTTTTTCCTCTTAGATCTGCCCACGGTAGAGGAGCTGATGAAACCTATCAGAATAGATTCCTTTGGTGTCAGTGGTTTTGATTTACAACCTGTCAGGTATGAGGTTTTTTGGAATGGATTGTGCAGGTTGTTTGTTTGTTTATTGTTTTGTTACTGGAAACTTTTAGTCATTTCTTTTACATACTCATTCCTAGTGAATGATTAATGGGTAGCTTATATGAGTCTACCTGTGAGTCACTGCTCTCTTCTTATTAGTAGTTCTTACTCAGTTTATCAAAATTCTTCTAGTGCTAAAATAAAAAAATACATATTTTTTAAATAGATGCCACTAAAAAAAAAAGTGCTGCCATTTTTTTAAGTAGTCTGTTGGCCTTTTCCTGAAAACTAAAATCCTTTCAGCTTTAAATAGCTCAGGGCAGTTGATTTGAACAGTGAGAGGGACCATGAATTTTATTCTGTATGCATCATAGATTTGCTTCTTTATAAACCACTTAGTTTTGCACTTAGTCACAGACCAGCCATCCTTTTACAAGGTAAGTGTTTTGGTCACAAGAGCAGCGGGCTTCAGTATATTTTAATGGAAACTCGTGGGACCACGCTGTCATTCTCCAGCACACAGAGTAGCACAAGACAGTAACCTTGCATTTGTGTCACATCCGTCATTTCATGTGATCCTCATAACAAATAGGGCAGTCATCTTTATCTGCATCATTCAAGTGATGAAACTGAGGTAAACCAGTTTAATGGTGGAGCTCTCACAAGAACCAGATGATGATGATGGAGATGGTGGTGGTGGTGGTGATGACAGCTAACATTTTTATCACATGCTTACTGTGGGCCAGGTACTGTGCAGAGTTCTTTACATATTAGATTTCACTTAATCTTATAGCCACTCTGTGTGGTATATTTTATTATCATCTCCATTTCATAGATAAGAAAACTGAGGCTTAAAGAAGTTAAATAGGGGGGTCTGGGTGGCTCAGTCAGTTTAGCGTCCAACTCTTAATTTTGGCTCAGGTCATGATCTCAGGGTTGTGAGATTGAGCCCCGCATTGGGCTCCACGCTGGGCATGGAGTCTGCTTGAGATTCTCTATCTCTCTCCCTCTCCCTATGCTCCTTCCCACTCCTCCCCCCCAAAAAAAGAAGTGTAAGAAATTGCTCAAGATCATATGGATATAACCAGGAAACACAAGAAGTCCATGTGCTTAACCACTTACACTGTCAGATCTTTGATCTCCATGAAATATTTCTGTGAGAAGCCTGTCATTCCCTCCATGTATTCATTCGTTCATTTGTGTTTTCAGCACACAGTTTGAGTCCCTCCTTATACTACCTCCTCATCATGTAAATCCACTTGTAGTGATTTCTCATCCTGTTTCTACATTTCTTCCATTTGAGAGAAAACAAGGCAATGAAGCCAGTCTACTTGAAGGCTAAGTCTAGTATTCTTCCACTGATCTGTAGCACTAGTTAGTATGTTTTCGAGGGCAGATCATTCTCACTTACTGCTGTTTGGGGGCTATGTTAGTATTAATGAAGAGATGTGCTTACATATCTTTGTGTCTTTGTTGGCATAGGTGGAAATCATTTTACTAATGTGTAATCTCTAAATAGAGATTTTTTTCATTTAAGGTCTAAAAACAAGTATACTTACATTAAAGGCATAACAATCATTACAGAAATGTCAATAGTATAAACTTTAGTATTCATGTCTGAAAACTCTTCAGTAAACTGTAGAGTAAATAATCCTGGCTACTGGGATTATTAAAATTTTAGTAGCTAAGCATCATCAAAAATTTATTTTTTGCTCACGTCATAATCCCGTGTGTGTCAGTGGGGTTGGGATGGGACTCTATTCCACATGGTCATTTAGGGACCCGGGCTACTTTGTCATCAACACATGGTTTTAAGGTTGTCATGGCCTCATCCAACCAGTTGATAAAGAAAGAAAAAAGGTAATTTAGCACAATTCCTTTTAACTGCCTCAACACAGAAGTATTACATCACTTCAGTTCACATTCTGTTGGTAAGAACCATCACATCGAGCTAACAAGGTCCAAGAGGCTGGGAAATAGGATTTGCTTATATGCTCAGAAAGAAAAGTTAGATGAGTTTGATAGGCATCTAGTTAGTCTCTACCAGAATCTACCCTTCTAGTAACCAAATATCCATTTTACTCTTCTTTATACACAGACCCACTATCCCCTCCCCAAAGCAAACAGCCCAAAGTCCCATTCAGAACTGTGTCCATCTAAAAGACCAGGATTTCCAGGTGAAGCAGTGTCTTCTCCAACGGGTTTGAATGTAGCTCCTCACTGTCTACTAATCTTGTATCTACACAAGTTCCCTACTTCCTCACCCCCATCCAATATATGATAGCGAAACTACAACAAATACTCCCATTAAGAAGGGAAAAATATGAGGAAAGGACAGCAAATAATGCAACCTTGAAATCCACGGGAAAGGCCTTATAACAATATTTACACTGTGGGCCACAACTGAAGTGGGTTTTGTGGGGAGGCTGTGCCCGTCTTGGAGGATGCATTCCTTTTAGTCCACTTCCTGCCTGCAGGTGGTTTTAAGGCTCCCAGATAAGTCTCTGGCTTTTATTGTTTGTTTTATAAATATGGTTGTGGTTTCCTTGTCATTACAGTTCCTTCAAAAAGTTTAGTAGACTTCTTATCTATTAGTTTCCAGTGAGTCCCATGTGCCAGTAACTACACTTGAAGTCAGTTTGCTAGTCAGAGGTTTTAAATCTGCTTTAAGTATTTGCTTTTTTTTGTCCCTCTTTCTTTCTTTTTTTCCTCTCAATTCAGTTGCAGCTATCTGTATATTATTGAGAACAATAACCTTAAGTGTGAAGAGGACTCCTTTAGTATGATCTTTGTCAAAGGACTGAGTCACTCTTTTCAACTTAGAAGTCTCATGAAATCCTGCTTTTTCATAGCATTTTTCAATGCTGAATCCTACTGTTAGGGTCACAGAGAATGAACCTTAGAGGCACTGAGTTTCTAGACTCTCTCTGTTTTCTTTGATTTCTTCTTATAAACTGGCCCTTTTTTATCTTGAGCTCATATCTTTTAGTATCTTGTCAAAAGTAGTCAATAGTAGCTAGCACTTAGAAACTTTCCTGCCATTTTTCTTAGTACCCAGACTCAGTAGCCATGTGATCTGCCTTATATTGTTTGGCAAATATTTTGGCAACATAGGTTGCCACTTCTCCAGCTTCTAGTATCATTTTCCTTGCCACCCAAAACCCAGCCACTGAGCCAATGACAGATATCTTAGGTTCTTGTCACCATAGCACTCACATTCTAAAGGCAAGAACTAGTAATTGGCCCCAACTAGATTCAGGGAGGCAAGGAAATGTAGTTTAGTTAGTATGCAGAAAGAACAGGAGACAGTTTTGAAGAGCTTCTAGCCAGATTCTGCAACCTGAAGAAGGAAAGACCTATTATATTTTCTGATGATTCCAACTACTTTAGAAAAGCCTAACAATTACTAAGAAGCCAGTCTATCTTACAAGAAAATAGTAGCCTCTTAAACTTTATTTTATAAATGACATCTTATTTTATAAATTACAAAATTAAATGACCTAATAGACCATGATTACTCAGTTTGAAAATACGGTGTCCATATTTTTGGAGCCCCTATGCTATACTGATACTTAACCCCATTTAGAACATTTCCTTAAGAGATATTTTCTCTATTTTAAAAATTGAGGGGCGCCTGGGTGGCTCGGTCGTTAAGTGTCTGCCTTCGGCTCAGGTCATGATCCCAGGGTCCTGGATCGAGCCCCGCATCGGGCTCCCTGCTCAGCGGGAGGCCTGCTTCTCCCTCTCCCACTCCCCCTGCTTGTGTTCCCTCTCTCGCTGTGTCTCTCTCTGTCAAATAAATAAATAAAATCTTAAAAAAAAAAAATTGAATGGTCTGAAATATTACATTGTATTTAAGTGTTTTAAACCACAGACATAATTTTATTTCAAGATACTAGTGATTTTCCTGTGTTACTTTAAAATTTTTCCTATAGTGTGATGCAATTTATGCTTTTTAATATTTATACTTTATTTCTCATTGACATAAATTATTACTTCTTTAGTTTCTTCTAAAAATGTGTAAAATGTTTTTCCTGTCTCAAATGCATGTTGACATGGTATTATGGATGAAAGATTAATTACACAAAGTTCATTAGAAATTCAATTTTTATTTTTTCTTACACAAAAACAGTCTCAGTCTTGGTTTGTCTTTCCTTTGAAGTAGGTCTCAGAGTCATCCATGTGATCCCTTATTTTATACTGCATTAAATTATCTGAAATTTAAAAGAGTTATAGGACACTATATGAGTATACTCTGCTAACCAGAATTACAGATAATATATTTGACATTAATGACCTAATTTAAATAGTTACAAATATTATATATAAATAATAATATACATAATAAAATATAAATATTTCTTATATTTTGTGTGTGTAAATATGTGATATGTATGGTATATGTATATATAATGGATATTTGAGGAGTCACCTAAGGTTCATTCTCTGTTTTGTTTTATAGCTATAAGAAACTGGCTGATAGAAAAGAAACTGAATTTGTTAGCCCTTTATCCCTTAAGATGAACCCAAATATTATATCTCAAGAGCCACGAAATGTGAACCAACTTTTTGACAAAAATGAAGAGAATGTGGTTTTACAAAAGACAACAAATAAAGGTATAGAAAATGGCTGTCCAGGAGTAAATACTACGGAAGAACATATAGATAAAATGTACCTTGATATTTTGAGGAAAAAACTATCTGTTGGTCCTTCATTATTGCCTCAGGATGACAAAATAAATAAAGTAAGTGTTTATAATCTAAGTTGATTTGAAATATTGATAAATGAAGTGTTATATAAATACTATTGATAAGTAGGTACTTCTTAAGCTAGTGGGATTGATTACATACTAACCTCCACATAGATCCTGGATATTTGTGAGCAGTATTTATTAACAACATCCCATAGTCCCCAAATTTTAAAATACTACCATGGCATTAGCTTTCTTTTGGAAGCCATTCTTTACATTTCTTCATTTGTTTTTAGTAAGTGTAGTCCAGAATTTGAGTAGCACAAGAAAATAAAGTTTATTCATCATTCTAGTGCTTTTTAAATCTTCCCAGTAGTGTGTGTTCTACAAAAGTAGGTAAGTTGGCATTTTATATAAATGCTATTAGCAGCTGTTGAGAAAGTTATATTTCACTATTCCTTTTTCTTCGGTTCTTGATCTATTCTGATTTATAGTTCCTTTGATCTCCATATTCTAGTTTTATTTTACAGTTTTAAGTTACGTGTTTACCATAAACTGTCTCCAGTTTTTTGTGGAATAAGACAGGATATTAATAAATTTTTATCTTGAGACTTCTGGAGAAAAAAAAAGATACAATTTTGTGTCATTTGAAAACATATTCTTTCCTGTTCTCTTCTATATTAATTCTAGTAATTACACATCTCGTTTTCTGGCAAGCTTACTTTGTTCTCTTATTTTGCTTTGTTTTACTCCTGACTGTGAAGATGTGCTTCAAAATACTAAAATTCTGATGAGTTAGACTTTGAGAACTTCAGTGTGTAGTGGTTTGCCTTATAATATAATAATGTGTATATTATATGTGTGTATATGTATAATATAGATAATATAATAATGCAAACTATTATTCAGTAATCACTGTGGTTTTGTGATCTGTTAAATCTTCATTTACAACTGTAGTTGAAGTTTATTTAAGTCCTAAAAAGTTGCTACTTGTGTGCAGACTTTTCAACAACTTAGTTCTGGAGAAGAAGGGGCTATAACTGGTAAACAGGTCCCATACAAGAAGGCCAAAAGTGCACCTCCGCTGCTTAAAAGAAAACCCCAGAGTGGATTATATGCATCAGTTAGGAGCTCAGGCTATGGCAAATCCAGTTCACCATTCAAGACTTTTTCTGCTCTTGAAAAGAAAACTTCAAAGGACGTTATGAAAATGAGATCCAGTCCCACTTCAAATCAAGCTAGGAAAAAAGGTAATTATATGCTCTTTTTGTAATAGAGTTCTGTGCATATAGTGTATTATTTTACTTTCCTTGCTCTCTGCTTTCCTTATTTCTTTCTCTCCTTCTGTGAACTTTTATTTTCATAGGAAAGAATTCATCTTAAGATAGGATATTCCATTCTGAAAGATTCAGTTTACAGGAGGATTTTGGTCATTGGCTCTAGGCTTTCCTGAATGACACTCCTAAAGTATGGGAAGTGAATAGGAGTCAAACTCATCCTCACCTGGTTGACTTTGGAATATCCAGTGTTTACCAGAGAAGAACTACAAATTCAGAATGCAAATGGCAACCTACAAATGAAGGTTGATTATAGAGATTATTTGGATATTAGTTCAGTATAGACTGAGCCAGGCTGGATGTTTTATATAGCACATAATGCGTATTTTTATATATCGCAGTGCCTCTGTTTGTTATTTCCTAATGCAGTCATTTATAGTGACAGTAGGAAAGGATAATTTTCAACTTAAGAGCCCATGCAGCAATTAAAAGAACAGAAATGTTCAGATCAAACCAACATTTCTGCTGCCTTTAAATTCCAGTGAGGAAGGGAGAGCTATGGAGCCAGAAGCATTTTGTCCTTCCCTTTGTGATTAAATTTAATAGGTGACCAATTTCATCATTGTTATATGGTGATATTTGTCATGAAGAGAACTGTCCTCATTGGAAAATTCATTTCTAGCTTGAAATGTCTTTCCTTGCTTTTCCCTAAGACTATTAAGTCCAGGACCACTTTGACTCTATTTTAAATTCTTTAGGCATTAAAGACTCTCTCCTGCCTTTGTGTTGTATTTGCTGCAGCAACCTGTGCATCTAAGATGGAAAGGAAGGCCAAGGCTGATTTATGTCAGAATAGAGGAGAACACCAGCAGGAGGTAGTTATTCTGTAGAGACAGGAATATGATTCTGTAGGATTAATGCAAGCATCCTTTCATCTTGTTCTTAACCTGTGAACCTCTAATTCCTTCCCCTACAAAGTCTTTTGTATTGCCTTATTTTCTCTTATTTTTGAAATGACTGTTCTACATGCAAGTGGAGACAACAAGGAACCAATTAGATAGAAAAGTCTAGAGTTCAAGAGGGAGGTGTAGACTGCAGATGATTTGTGAGTTATTGTGAAAACTAATATAGATGGGCGACGCCTGGGTGGCTCAGTTGGTTAAGTGTCTGCCTTCTGCTCAGGTCATGATCCCAGGGTCCTGGGATCAAGTCCCATGATGGGCTCCTTGCTCAGCGGGGAGCCTGCTTCTCCCTCTGCCTGCCATTCCCCCGCTGCTTATGCTCTCTCTCTCCCTCTCTCTGGAAATAAATAAATAAAATCTTAAAAAAAAAAAAAAAAAACTAATATAGATGGTTTTTAAACCATGAGGCTGACAAAGAGAGTGAGCATTGCTATAGGAGAAAAGCAGACCAAGGCCTGAGCTCTGGGCATGCTAACCTTAGGAAGTCAGGAAGAAGAGGAGTAACCTGCAAAGAGAAGAGAGTAAGATTGGAAGAAACCTGAATATGTGGGATCCTGAAAGCCAAGTGAAGAAAGGAGAATTGATTTATCTGTCAGTTGCTGCTGAGAGAGAAAGGAAAGTGAAAACTGGGAACTGACCTTTGGGTTTAGCGTGGAGGAAGTCATCAGTAAACTGGACAGTTTCCATGGTTATGTGGCTGTAAAAGGCAGGCTGAATGAGAATAGGAGGGAATGTGAGAAATAAAATTGGATGCTTTATAGACTAGGAGGAAAGAGTGTAAAAGGCAGAAAAAAATGGGGTAGTAGCTGGCATGGGAAGTAGAGTCAAGGAAAGCTTTTTGTTTTGCTTTTTTTTTAATGGTAGTAATAATAGTATGCCTAAAAGTATGTTTATGCATTTTGGAAAGATTTCAGTAGATTCATGGTGGTGAGAGGGGAAGAATTGCTAGAGCAGTGTCCTTGAGTAGAGGAACTGTAACGGAATCTAGAGTTCATTGAAAGGATTGGCTCCAGATAGAGGCATGGACAATTCATCTGTGCAAGCAGATGGGAAAGGGGAAGATGTAGACACAGATACTGGTGGGTGGGTAGACATGGTGAAAGAATGTGGATGATTTCTTCTGATTGCTTCCATTTTCTCTGAGAAATAAAACATAGTATCATTTGCTGGCATTGAGGATAGGGTAGGAGTGTTAGAGGAGAGGAGAGAAAAGATGAAATAGCCATCCTGGAGGACTAGATTGCCCGCAGCAGAGTCTTCTTGAAGTTAGTGATTATGGATTTAAATTGATACCAGGCAACATATTTGTGTGTGTGTGTGTGTGTGTTGTGTTTGTGTGTGTGTGTGTTTGTGCATGTCCACGTTTTGCTACATGATTGCAGGTGTTGGGTAGTTGTATAGTTGGATTTACCAAGAAGAGTGGTTTTTGCCAAACGAGTGCAATGAACTGAGGAGCAAGAAGAGAGCTAATGGTGTATGTGGACTTCAAATTGAGTAAGGAAGGAAGAAAGGACGTCAAGGGGTGTAATACGGTATGAAACAGGTAGGATTGACCGTCTATGAGTACTGTTGGGGTTAAAGGATTGATGGAATCCAAATACCAGAGGGCATGAAGTGGGAGATAGGATTGATAGAGAAGAAATGCCTAAGACTGAGATTAGAAGTGATTGTGTTACTAGTAGAGAAAAGGCTTAGAGTATACCAATGTAAGTAAGTAGCTGAGGTGGAGAGGTTAAGTATAAGGACCCAAGAGCCAAGGGTTGAAAGGATCACTATGAGTATATTGAAATTACTAAGAATGAAGACAGAAGTAATGTCACAGTGGGTGGAAAAGAAACGAGGGGCATGATTGAGAGGTTGATAGAGGAAACCAACAATACCTTTATGAGTATTTTTCCTGTTTCAAAATTTTACAGTATTTGTGACTACCAAAATAAAAATAAAACAGTACAATTTATATTAAAGTACAATGATAAACCTTGACTGTCCATTTTTATACTGAGTTACTTTTTTTTCATTAGACTTAAGATTTTTTAAATCTCTTTTTATTGTAAAATTCCCCCAGAGCAATTTTAGTTTTATTCAGAAGAATTTTAATTCCTTTGGGATGGTTGTTACTTGTCACAGGTTGGGTTCTCCAACAAGCAGACTCTGAGATACAGATTAGTGTTCAGAAAGTCTAGAGAATGCACTTGGAATCAACCTTGATTAAGATGAAAAAGAAGCCAGGTGCTGGGGCTTACTCAGAGTTTCTCTTTTTCATGTAACAAGAAGGCAGGAATAGGCAGTTCAGACCTGGCACCACTGTGCAAGGAACCAGATCCGTTCTTCTTTCCTGCTGCAAAATCCTTTATCTGTAACTTTTGTCTTCATTATAACAAGGTGGCTATTTCAGCCTCCAGTCTGAGTCAGGAGGAAAGTAAAAAGTAAAAGGTCCATGCCAGTTAAATCATCGACTTCTTCATCAGTAAAGTAGTGACTTTTCTGGAAGCACCATGTAAGAAACTTTTGCTTTCATCTACTAGCTTGAATTTTGATCTTATGGCCACCCTCAGTTGCCTGGAGTCCAGGGAGATGAGTATTTTCAACTGGGTACATTGCTGCCCAGGGCAAAATTAATAGGGAGGTTTCTATTAGTAGGGAAGAGGAGATTGGCAATTAGCAGTACCTGCTGTGTGGTTGTTTTCCTTTTTATTTTAAATTAATTTTCTTTGGCTATTAACTTATGTTTTTATTTTTAGACTAATAAGTTTCTTCTTTTTTTTAAGATTTATTTGAGAGAGAGAGAACACAAGAGCACAAGTTAGGGAGAGGGGCAGAGGGAAAAGTAGAGTCCCCACTGAGCAGGGAGCCCGATGCTGGGCTCGATCCCAGGACCCTGAGATCATGACCTGAGCCGAAGGCAGACGCTTAACCAGCTGAGCCACCCAGGCACCCCTAGACTAATAAGCTTCTTGTCAAAAAAGGAATAGTTGCTCATTATTTAAATTTAAAAATACAGAAAAGTAAAAAGAAAGCAAGAAGCAATGGGTGTCACACTGAGTGAGCATCATTTCATGCTTCTCATGTGTATGTCCTTATACAGATAGAAGGAAGCATAGATGGTGGATGGAAGGAGAAAAGCAGACATATGGCTAAATGGACAAAACATTTTATAAGAACAGAATCACTCTTTGCAAGTTCTTTTTTTTTATTATTATTATTTGTTTTTAAGAGAGTGCATGAGTGCGGAGAGGGGCAGAGGGAGAGACTCCCAAGCGGGGAGCCCAACTCGGGTCTCGCACCCATGATCAAGAGTCGGACGTGATGCTCAACCAACTGAGCCTCCCAGACGCCCCTACAGGTTCTTTTAAATAAAATATTAGATTTAGTATTTCTTAAATCTGTAAGAAAAACTTCATCCTAAGAAATATTATATCCCAAAAGAACCCTTTAAAAGAAAACAGATTTTGAAAACCACTCAAAGATTGCCAGAATCATGCTGCTTTTAACTGCATTTTCAATTTTATACATGATCAGTTTTCCCTTCTGTGAAATATAAGGTAGTAAAACTCTTACATCCCCCACTCATATGCCTTTTACTCATTTTTGTTGATTTCATTTTTCCTTGTTCAAGTTTATTATATTTTATCCTGCAACCTTAATTCCCCTCAGCTTTTGAATTTAGGTCTTCATTCTGATTATTAAAGAGATGGAATGCTTTTCACGAGTCCCTTAGCCATAGCTTCTCTATTCTGGAATTATTTTGATTGGTTTATTTTTTGACTAAATTTTCTTAATCCGTTGTTTTTTCAAGAAGGATTCATGAGGTCCAAATTCTGCAATGTTTTCATATTAAAGTTTTCTATCCAGGCAAATTTTCTTCATATATAAAGGAAAAAGATACTGTCTATGTACCATTACTAAAAATAATTACTTAGAGAAATGAAAATTAAGAATTCAAGAAGAGAGAATTCTGGTATGAAAGCATTGGCTGACTACAACTTGAATAAGAACCACCTGCCACCCTTAGCTGCCATTTCCTAGGGAGAATGACAGTGCTAGCAGATCACACCTCATTCACTGGCCACATTAATGGATCTCCAGTGACTTGGAAGGATGAATGCCAGCTTTTACAATGACTCCGTTTCTTTTTGAACACTTTAAGTTCTCCAGAAAACCTTCTACACGGAATAGTCCAATTACAAATGACTACTACTCTGTAAGGAAAACCCCTGCATGCCTGCAAAAGAGATTAGAAAGAAATCTTTGGGTGAGGTGCTACTGGTGACTTGTTTCTTTTTTTGACTTTTCTGTAATTTCCAAATCTTTAATAACCATGTATCTTTTCACTTTTAATGAAAAAGTAAACTTTACACTTAAAAGTTAGCATCTTGAAGAAATTATATTTAAAAATAAAAATTTCAAATTCTTAATTTACCTCTAAGGCAGATAAATGAATGTTTACTGACTGTTCAGCTCAAACTTATAGTATTTGAATATGGGCCTCAAGGTCTCTTCAAGGTATTTCTCATAAACATTCTTTTTATTATTAACTGAGTAATTTATTGGCCTTAGAATTATTCCTACTGTTTGGGGATTTATGAGGTACCTTAAAAGGTGAAAATTGGACCAGAACATACATTAATCACATTTTTTTAATTCAATATATATTATCAGGGTTTTATAGCAGTATTATAATTTTACTTTTAAGTCAAATTTAGACTAGCTGTTGTAAAGTTTCCATGCAATTTATATTATTCCTTTAATACTATATCTTGATACACATTATTTATGAAAAGTGTGCTTTGAAAGCACCCTTAATTTGAACTAAAGTGCTTCATAAAGTTAATCAGCTTCTCTTTGATTCATCACTTGGATATTCTTATTTGTTATTGCTGTGACTATTTTAAAGAATAGTATTTAAAATTAGTAAGACCTGAAATTATCCCTGTCCACATTCTCTTCACATTTTTTTAGCTCCGTTTATCATTTGACATGAATCTTGGGTCAGTTAGCCTTCTTTGTCAAATTGGGTGAAATGTTGATTATGGGGAGTTCTGACTGCAGTGAAACAGCTGTGTTACAGAGTTAGACCCCAGCCTCTTTCCAGATCCTCTTCTATCCTACCGTTCCCATTGTATTAGTACTTACTATTACATGATTGCTGAATACACATTCACCTTTGTTTGCATTTGTGGTGCTTCTGTCCATTGTTTACAATATTTAGAAATCTTATCAGGAACAAAAGTCATCAAGCCTGCAGCTTTGGGTAAAGCAGCTCCCAAAACTGAAAGTTGCCTGGCTACTCCTAAGAAGGCTGAAGATTCTACAGAAACTGATTATTGTGTTCAGTTTCAGAATGTAGGTATTGAATTTCAAAATCACATTCATAATTTTTTTCTGTTTTATAATATTAAAACTAAGTAATAAATAATGAAATTTGTTTTGCATTAAGCATGATGTTCTAATCTTACTGAACATTTATTGATTTTTCTATAGCAGAACATTGTTAACCATGTCATTTTTATTCATTGTGGTTTTTTTTTCTAACCACCTGTTTTCAAACTTAGTATGTAAATATACTATAATGAAGTAATGCTTCTCCTTAAAAGGATTCTTCAGGATACCATGGTGAGAACAAGGAGACCGAGTTAATTATGTTTAAAAGAGTTCAGGAAGCAGAGGAAAAATGGAGGGGTGCACAAGCCCTAATTGAGCAAATTAAAGTTACATTCTCAGAAAAAGAGAGAGAGCTGGAAAATAAGATGGAAGAACTAAAGAGACAACAGGAAAAGGAACTCTTCAGACTGAACCAAGACAATTACATTCTTCAAGCCAAGGTACTAGACACATTGTCCTGTTTCTCCTTTTATTGAATAAAAAGAACTTGTACTCCCTGCAAAAATGCATTGTCATCCTTTGTTCCTGGGGCTGTTTGACTTGATGTATTTGCTGTATAAAATATGAACATGGTTCCCAAGACTGCCTCCTCACAACAGAGCCTAACTCACACCCACTGGGAAAAAATAAAAATTTAAGTTGGCTCATTTTGATAATTTTCTTCTGTTAGCAGTCCTTTTTGAAAACAAATCCCTTAGTTCACTATGACCTTCAAGAAGACAGTTTCAGAAAGAACTGCTATAGAAGGCCTAGATTCAGAGAATGACACTGTGTAGCATTTCTGAGTTACTCTCATCACCAGAACCATCAGCACAAAACATCACATTGTAATGATTTAGCTAGTTGGTGTTAATTCCACTGTAGTTATAGGACAGTTTTAGATCTATGCATGTTGAGTTTTCTATTATTCTTCCTTATCTCTCACTTCATCATCTCCTTTCCTAAATAAAATAATGTCTGTATTTTCTCAAAGTTAAGTAGCTTTGAAGAAACAAACAAAAAGCAAAGATGGTTACATTTTGGAGAAACAGCTGATACTGTCACTGAAGAAAAATTGAAGCAAATTCAAAAAGAAATACAGGAACAAGAGACACTTCTTCAAGGATATCAACAGGTGTGAATTTTCAGCACTGTGAATTTGTTCTTGAGATCCTTTGATTATAGAAAGTAAGGCATATTAAAATATTTCTATGCTCATGTAGCGGGTAACAGGAATTCTGGCAAAAATGAGTAAGTAATAATTTGACTAGTCTGAACATTTTTCATAGGCATATAATTAAGCTGGTTAAGAGCGTGGGGACACTGGGGAGGGTACGTATTGTGGTGAGCGCTGTGAATTGTGTAAGACTGATGAATCACAGACCTGTACCCCTGAAACAAATAATACATTATATGTTAATAATAATAATTTAAAAAAAGAATCCAGTGTTAGTCCTCCCTCCACCTCCTGCTGTGCAGCCTTGGGCAAATCATTTCACCTCTCTAAGCCACTTTCCTCATCTGTGAGTGGGGATGGTAATAACAGTAGCTGCCTCATATGATGGTTATAAAATTAAAATATGAAAGTGCAAACCAACCTCTTAGTACCTGGCACCCAGTAACCAATTAGTGAATGTTGCCTGTTACTATTTTTAATAGCCATATTCCTTAGACACTGCCCTATTCTTCTTTAGTTTTCTGTAATGCTTTTCAGTAGATTATATTGATTAGTTTTGGTATTATATTCAGAAATACAAATCTGAAATTAATTGCCAATGTGCGGAGAGTGAAAAAATTTGAATTAAATGAGAAAAAATCTGTGTGTCCTACAAGAAGGCAGATATTTGCCATGTGTGATGGATTCTTGGTAATGCTGACTAGCCAGTCAGCCAGGACAGGTTTAGTGATCTCCAGCATAGAACTTCATCTTAGTTTCCTCCCCTTTTTCCCCTTACTCCCTTTCCCTTCTCTTTCTCACTCATTACCTTTTTCTCTTTTGACTTTTAAGCATCAAGCCTATCAATAATTAGCATTGTCATCCGAGGATAACCAGAGAAAGCATTGTCATATCAGTGATTCATAATTTTCCTATAGATGAAATAGTACTGATTTTGTAGGGCACACTGCCCTATAGTTAGTGAGAACCTTCCAAATCCTTTGCCTGCCATTGTGATCTTGCTGTAGAGAACACCTGTTTGTGTTTTTTGTTTTTGTTTTTGTTTTAAGATTTATTTATTTGTGGGCGCCTGGGTGGCTCAGTTGGTTAAGCAACTGCCTTCGGCTCAGGTCATGATCCTGGAGTCCCAGGATCGAGTCCCGCATCGGGCTCCCTGCTCGGCAGGGAGTCTGCTTCTCCCTCTGACCCTCCCCCCTCTCATGTGCTCTCTCTCATTCTCTCTCTCTCAAATAAATAAATAAAAATTAAAAAAAAAAAGATTTATTTATTTGTTAGAGCAAGCAAATGGGGCAGGGAGGGGGCACAGCAGAAAGAGAGGGGGATAGAATCAATCCCAAGCAGACTCTGTGCTGAGTATGGAGCCCAGCATGGGGCTCAGTCCCCTGACCCTGAGATCATGACCTAAGCCAAAACCAAGAGTTGTTCACTTAACCAGCTGCGCCATCCAGGTGCCCTGAGAGCACACATTTTTAAGGAGTATGTCACAGACCCATAAGGATGCCAACCACCTTCTCCCACAAATATAACACAAAACTTGCATATCTGTATACATTACATTGTGGGTATTTAAGCACAGACCATCTTACCAAGCACTAGGCCAGACATGGTGAGATAGTCCATGGTTTTTATTAGATCCTCAAAGGTCCTTGGTTTTCATCAGATTCTTAATTTTAAAAAAGTTAATAAGCCACAGCACCTAAGCACAGATTGGTTTGAGTCACTCTTTAGTCTAAGGCTAGGGGAGAACTGGGCCTAGTATCTGCTTTGCCTTGTCCTTACACTTTTAGAAATACCTGCTCTCTAACTCCCTGCTCACAGAAAGTTCCAGAAACAAGCATGGAAGCCCATCGTGGCTATCTATATCCAGTTACCTCATTGCAGGAAGCCAGGCTAGAATCAGAAAAAAGAGGATGCAGACAGTCCCAGTGGGCCTTTTGCCCCTAGTCCACACAGTTAGGTTGTAGTTATTTCTGCAGCCACTCGGCCTGCTTACTCCTGTGAAATACAGCGCCTTACACTGACATTAGGATCTTGGGAATTTTTGCAACTCTTTTTTTCAAGTAAGCATTTTGGAAAGAATTGTTTTCAGGTAACAGATTTTCTTCTGAGATGATATAAAGAGTTTTAAAAAGATTTTGCTTACTCAAAACTAAATAAATGTAAAAGACTTTGAAAATGTTTAAAGGATGTATCTGTTGTGAGCATATATACTTATGTAAGTACTAATGACTATTAACTAAAATGTAATTTTCTGTTTATAAAAAGGAAAATGAAAGATTGTATAATCAAGTGAAAGATCTCCAAGAACAAAACAAGAAAAATGAGGAGCGAATGTTCAAGGAAAACCAGAGTTTATTCAGTGAGTTAGCTTCCTTAAAGTAAGTTCTTTTTGAATTCGTAAAATCAAATATATGTAGACTATTTCTAAGCATTTTATTTTAATACTAAAAATACATTTATTTTTACTTAGAACTGAAAAAAATTTTACACTTATTTATGGTTTGTAACTTTTATAGGTTTAATATTCAGTATATTTTTCTTTTAGTACTAGATGGCTAGTAGTACATATTTTAGTATTTTTAGCATACTCATATTTGAGTTTCACATCAGTTTTAGGAAACTGAATATACAGTATTCCTCTTGATCAGTCATTAAGCCTGAGATGCTTAGCCATTTCCTAAGGAACCATGTGATTAATCATACTAAAAATATATGTATCATATAACTATCACTTAATGTTTTAGGTCAGGTTCTGTAGAAGTAGAGCCTGAGGTGTAGGGATCCTTATGGAGGTGATTTCTGGGAGGATAACCCTAAGGAGAAGGGGAACAAGAGAAGCAAGGTGGGATAAGGGGGAGGGAAGGTAAGTAAGAACGTGGTCTTAGCCAGTGACTGGCTTTATTTATTCTGCTCAGGAAAACAGATTACATCACAGAGTTGGTCCCACTTGAGGCAAGGGGAGCAATCTTTTATACCCTCAAACTAGTCAGTCACTGGGTGTGGTATGCCCTAGGAAGGGAATGGGGGATATCCTCTAGGCCAGGGGGCAGAGGCTGCTATTTGGCTGAGGGCATTTCTCCAGAGAAGAACTTGTGAGTTGTTATTAACCAGCACTCAGCACGGCAGGCTCAGGGAGCACCAGCACCTACTTAGGAATCATATTTCAGACTGTAAGATCTGTAAGATCTTTTAGATAATACTACATCCAACTTTAACATATTGAGTGAAAAAGCTGAACTCATAAACATGAGCAAGTTAGGGTACTGTCTTCTTTTAGGAAATGGCTCACCAGTTTTGTGTCACTTCACATAGACACCTGATCACTTAGATGGAACTGCTATTAGAAGAAGCTTCTTTGGGGGTGCCTGGGTGGCTCAGTCAGTTAAGTGTCTGCCTTCAGCTTGGTTGTGATCCCTGGGTCCTGGGATCGAGTCCTGCGTCAGGCTCTCTGCTCAGCGGGGAGCTTGCTTCTCCTTCTCCCTCTGCCTGCTGTCCCCCCTGCTTGTGCTCACTCTCTCTCTGACAGATAAATAAATAAAATCTTAAAAAAAAAAAAAAAAAGAAGGGCACCTGGGTGGCTCAGATGGTTAAACGTCTGCCTTCGGCTCAGGTCATGATCCCAGGATCCTGGGATCAAGTCTCACATTGGGCTCCCTGCTCAGCGGGGAGCCTGCTTCTCCCTCTGCCTCTCTCTCTCTCTGTCTCTTATGAATGAATAAATAAAATCTTAAAAAAAAAAAAGCAGCAGCAGCACCAGCTTCTTTGGCCTTGAATGTATGACCCCAAGCCAGTTGTGATAATCTGCACAGTTCTGATGCGTGAAAGCATTTATATCTGATTTCAGTCAAGTATGCTTCAATAAAGCATTCTAAAATATCACATCTTATATTACATGGGTTTAAAAGAGATCTATTCCCGGATCCCAAACTGAAGCTTTAAATGCGCTTTCACGATGAAATAGAGGGTTTCTTTACAGTAGGATTAGATGATTTTAAATGCAGTCCTAAACTCCTTGTATAATGTTTCTGGAAAACCAGAAAAATTGATTCTAACTTCAAATAATAGACTGTGTTTGGTTTTGTTTGTCATTTATCATGTGTATGATTGGTGATTTGTGTTTCTTAGAAAGGAGTCTAGAATGATGTAGCAGGGAAGATGTAGCACCACAGGATAAATGCAGCACATCTTTCTCACACATTGAGTTTTGTTTCTCTGAGAATTAGTAGAAAGTATTTTTATATTATAAAGAAAGCATGATGTTAGGGTTTCAATTCTTTTAAATTGAACAAACATCTCCCTTATACTTCTTTTACTATTTTAATATTTTAATCTTTAGAGTAAATAACCTTTTTTTCTTCAGTGGCTCAAATAGTTGCAATGTCCATTAGATTTTTTAATTTTAAGAATTGTATATTTTGCATTGAAAGGAGTACTTTGTTTAAAAAAAATATTTTCATTTTCAAAATAAATCAGAGAACAGATGCACAAAAGTCGTTTCCTGTCTCAAGTAGTTGAAGATTCAGAGCCCACCAAAACCCAGAATTTTACAGATCTGTTAGCAGAACTACGGGTGGCACAGGTAAGTTGCGTAAGTATAGTAAAGAATTTATTCTTAAAATTTCCATATGTGTATAAAAAATCTGTTTTTGTAATTTATGAATAGATAAAATCTGTTATAAATTTCATACCATTAAAAAATTTAGGTATATCTTAAATTAGCATTTAATATACATGTGACCTTAGAGAAAATGACATAATACTGGTTTTCGATGGCATCCTCTTTATTTTATTTTTATTTTATTTTATTTTATTTTATTATGTTAGTCACCATACAGTACATCATTAGTTTTTTTGGGGGGGTTGTGTTTTTTTTTTATTTTATTATGTTATGTTAATCACCTACATTACATCGTTAGTTTTTGATGTAGTGTTCCATGATTCATTGTTTGCATATAACACCCAGTGCTCCATGCATCCTCTTTATAATCCAGCCTCTCATCTAGTGATCGTCAGGTGGAGCCATACTGGAGGCATAACCTTACTTAGGGCATATATACCTTATTTCAAAAATTCCTTCTTAGAAATGTAAGCTAAAATAGGAAAATACTTTGAAGATGATTGTTCACCTTAAAATGTTAAGTGGCTTTTTACCGGTCTTCAATGAACTGTGCACTTCTAGAAGGCAGAGACTGTGTCTACAAATATTTGCCTCCCATGTACTTAACACAGATGTGAAATACAATAGCTGCTCCATAACTTTTTTTTTTATTTTTATTGAATCGTATTATAAAGGATATGGCTTAGAATTTTCTAAAGTGGTATTTACCAGTGAGAGAAGTTTTGGAATTTTGGGCAGGTTAATTCTATTTTAAGCAGAACAGTTCCATATACTGCACAATTTTTGTCATCCCTGTCCCCAGGAAATATGTGCTCACTGCCACATTTCCAAACTTGTCCCCTGTGGGATGGTAGTTAATTCTCCCCACTCCCTCCCATTAAGAACCATGGTGTGAAACTAAAAAAGCCCTTCTAATCTATTGAATGACTATATGAATTAGAAAAATGCCAAATACATACACTTTTTAATGAGAAATCATATAAAGTTTTGTTACGTAGAAATCTAAACACACCCTAGTTTAATAACATGTTTAGCAGCCTTTTGTGGTATTTAAGATGTAGCTTCAAATATGAATCTATTTGGCAACTTTCTTCAGGTGCAGGTATGCATGTATAGCATGATTAAAGAGATACGTAGTTAGGCAGATAGGTTAGAAGAAAGAGTGAATGGTTGGACTCTCCCTAACTCCCTTGCCAGTAGGCCTCAAAAATTAGCAAGTTAAGAGAGAAATTAATATCATTGTAGTTTATGAAGGCTTGGGAAACCATAGTAAGGTTTCAAGCCAAACATCAGCTTTATTCAAATTGTTATTAGCAACCTTTTAAAAGTGCTGTTTTGAAAATATTTTCTGACAGGAAACTAAAACTTCCACTAAAAACATCAGAAAATGCTGGACAAAATAGAATAAACATCTTGTAAATGCAAAATGTAAAAGCTCTCAGGAAAGTGAGAGAACTCTCTAGGGACCAGAAATGAGGAGGGATAAAAACCTAACAGTAAACATCTGCTCCTAGGCCTTTAGTTTAGTAGCCATGGGCTGGAGCTTTAACAGCAAAGTGGAGACAGGACATCTGGAGTTCAACTGGCCTTATCCTTCAGTACGGCAGCAGACTAGGAAAACATCCACCCACCTTTGCGAGGGACTAAGACGTCAAGAAACTTTTCTGTTTTAACTTGATTGCTAGATAGGATAGGGAGAAAGTGACAACATGGTTGGATCTAGAGGGTATCGTGCTAAGTGATAAGTCAGAAGAAAACAAATACCGTATGATTTCACTTACATGTGAAGTAAATGAGCAAACAAAACAGACTTGGAGGTGCAGGAAACAAACTGTTGGTTACCAGAAAGTGGTGGGGGGTGTTGGAGGGCAGGTGAAATATAAATTACCAGTTATAAAATAAGACACAGGGGTGTAATGGACAGCATAGGGTATCTAGTCAATAATGTACTAACTTTGTGTGATGACAGACCATAACAAGACTTACCATGGGGATCATTTCATAATGTATAAAAATATCAAGTCACTATGATGTACACCTGAAACTACAGGATATTTATTGTATGCCAGTTATACTTCAGTACTTTTTTAATTAAAATCTCTTTGGCTACTGTGAGGAGAATAGACTAGCTGCTAAAAGTGGAAAAGGCACACTAGTTAGGACATTATTGCAGTAATCCAGGAGAAGTGAGAACAGTTCATTGGGAGGTCTTTAGGCTATGTTGAGTTAGATGATTAGAATTAATCTAGTAGGCTATGGGGAATTATTAATAATTTGGCAGGGTGGAAGAACATGATGACACCAGAACTAAATTTAGGAAAAATAATTATGTTTTTGGTTTTTTTTTAAAGATGTTATTTATTTATTTGACAGAGACAGCAAGAGCAGGAACACAAGCAGGGGGAGTGGGAGAGGGAGAAGCAGGCTTCCCACTGAGCAGGGAGCCCGATGTGGGACTCGATCCCAGGACTCTGGGATCATGACCTGAGCGGAAGGCAGCTGCTTAACGACTGAGCCACCCAGGCGCCCTAATTATGTATTTATAAAAAATACGTATGTAGAATTTATGATGGATGGGATAAAAGAGAGCCTATACCACAATTTTTTGTGGCTATAAATAATATGCTTTTATAATTCTATGACTATCAAGAAAGAAAAAAACAGTTTATTGGAAGACATCAAAAGACTGAAGCAAGACAAACAAGCTCTTGAAGTAGACTTGGAAAAAATGAAGAAAGAGAGAGACCAAGCCAAAGATGAGATTGCTTATGCCACAGGTAAAACGCTGAGCTGAAACAGTTTGCCTTTATACTCATAAGTGTTTTAATCTTGAATTTAAGTAATAGTTGCTATTACTACTTAAGGAATCAAAATGCTATTCCTTTAAGTATGTTGTAATTTTAGAAAATTTTTAAAAAACCGATTATTAATAGGTATGCACATTTGATTGGTTTTAGCAGGAATAATTGCAGGATCATAAAAAATCAAGGATTATTTTGAATTTGTGGCATCTTGTATTTATTCATGTTCATGTCTGTCACCCGAGCTAGATGGTGACCTTCCTGAGGGCATGGTCTGCCTTTTTATCCCTGGGTCCGAAACCTAGGCTCTCAAGTATTTGCCAGATGAACAAATAACACTGTACTGTGTTTATAGAAAACACAGGATAAATGTGACATTCTCTGCAAGGGAAAACAAAGGAGAGTAAGATAAGAATGCAGAAAAGTTTAGTATTTTAAAAATTACAAATAAACATGAGACATGGTACTATGATACTACGTAGGGGTTTTAGGGAAGAGTAGCATTTTGAGCTGGGTCCTGACAGATTGGAAGACACAGAAGTGAAGGGATGGAGGGAGGTTGCTGGAGTGTGTTTCTTGAGCATGTTATTGAGTGCACCTATGGATTGGAGCTTAGGATGACAGAACCCAGGGCTAAAAAAGTGGATCAGAGGAGACTTTGTAGGGTCTTTCTGCTGTGATACTATGATCTTCAGTGTAAGATATGTACAATAAAATCCACTTACCCGTTTGTAAGAAAATTACATTTGCTTTCCTCATCTGTAAAATAGAATAATAATAATAGTGCCCATCATGTTTGTTTTGTGAAATGAAATCATGCATGGTAAACACTCTATATTGCTTCCCGTTGCAATTTTTAATATAATTGTAGGAATTCATGTTTATTATTTCTTGGACCCAACATTTATTGTCCCATGGAAACAACTTTGCTTTTATAATGAAAATGGGAAAATAACTGATTTATCAAAAAATTTATATACAGCCAATTTTGCTATGAATTTGAGGATTTGGACTTTGAAGACAGTCTTCATCTCTCTTTATGAATTGATTAAACTGGACACTACATTGCAAAGATCATTTTTTTTTTTTTGCTTCTTATTTTTTCATAATGCTTTCATTATATAGGCATTGGTTTTCATATAATTTAGTTTATTTCCATATTTTGGAAAATTACAATCAAGTTCAGGAGTTCCTTTTTCTTATAGGTGAAAAATTATATGAAATAAAGATTTTAGAAGAAACACATAAGCAAGAAATCAGTCGTCTGCAAAAAAGATTACAGTGGTATGCTGAAAATCAGGAACTTCTGGATAAAGATGCAGTTCGGCTTAAAGAAGCAAATGAAGAAATTGAGAAGCTCAAACTTGAGGTAGTAAGATCATTTTAGAAAGTATTTCTGTGATGAACCCTATTCAACATTTAGTTCTTCTTAGCCTTATAAGTGTAATTGAGTCAGTACCGTAAACTTTAATAATGAAAATAGCTGGTTTGGGTTGGGGTTTGCTCTTAGATGTGTAGTCTGTTTTCGATTAGACTGAGAATAAATCTAAGCTCCTTTTCATAACCCCTCAGGTCCCCGTATTGTCTGAACCCTGTCTGCCTCTCCAGCCTCATCTGTATGTATCACACTCCACACATCACTCTCCTGCAGCCACACCAGACCTCCCCGATTCTTGAACATGCTTGCTCCACGGGTTGCCTTGGTCTAGATTACTCTGGCCTAGTTTCTTCCATGTCTCACTCCTCATTCAAGTCTCAGCTCCAGTTTCTACTCCCCAGAAAGACCTTTCCTGATCTCCTCATCTAACGGAGCTACCAATCCTGCCCCCTTCTGACTTTTCTTCCCAATCTGTCACTCTATTTTATTTTCTTCATAGCACTTGTCACTCTCTGAAGTTATTTTATTTACTCATTGATTTACTTTATTAGCTTATCATGTGTCTCCTCTACTGGAGTGCAAGCACTATGAAAGCAGGCTTATCTTGTTTGCCCTCCATATCTCCAGCACAGCGCCCTATCTGGGAATTCATAAATGAATGAATGAATACATTATGCGTCTCTCCTGGGGTTTCTCAGGTGTTTTTTAAATATGCTTCTTAACATTTTCTTTACCTTTTGATAGGTTGAGAAACTGAAAGCTGAATCTGGAAATCCATCTATTCCGCAGAAGATACGTTTAAAAGAGAAAACAGCTGATGCCAAAAAAATTCAGGATCTAGAGCGACAAGTATGTGTTCAGGGTAAATTTTCATTAAGGTATTTTATATACTGTGCATTTTTGTTTTCTCTCATTTCAGTAGTTCCTACAAAATATAATTGACCTGAAAATTCTGTTTTTATTAATTTATTCTAATATAGAACTGTCCTTTAAATACTTGATACACAATACTTAAAGTGACAGTAATAAAAGTAGTAAACACAATCATTTTATATAGTCTGTGGCTTTCTGCATAAGGAATGTGTAGGCTGTTGTGCCTCACTGGATAGTAGACCTGTGGACGAAAGGTTATTTTGCATTCCAGCTCTATTAGACATCTAGACACAAGCAGCATTTTAAAACTCTGGGTATGGAGTTAGGATTCCTTCTCCTGATGAGAGTTTGGTGAGAAAGGAGTATAGGAAAGGAGATCCTTGAGTTGAGAACATGTTAGAAGTGCTTGGGAAGTGTTGCAGAATGCCCTGGAAATAGAACATTTAGCCTTCCAAAAAGCTGGCCTTAATTTTGAGTTCTCGCTCACTGTCAAGCTTCGAAATATTCATTTCATGGTCTGGGTAGCTGGGAGACCTTTTCAAAAATCATATAGTGATGCTTGCTGATTAGGATGAAGATGTTTTTTCATTGAAGTAGTTATTTTGTAGGGTGGAATATTAACTTTCTCCTTGTTTTTAAAATTCTGTAATTAACATTTGTATTCATAACTCAGTATTAAAACAAAATAAGAATTTCCAGCCCTGTTCATAAGGGAGCATGAATCTGTAGTCAAGTCATGACACTTCAGTGTATGGCCATTATTCCATCACAAACCCAAAACTGTGAGGTCATCACTGGGCTGACTATTATCCCAGTTTTATGAGAGAAGGAAAACTAAGCAAAAAATTAACTTTGTTACTTTTACAGGACCTGTTCTTATTAAAAGGTATGATTTTTAGTTGGGCTCAGTAGCCAGGAAAGGAATAGGACAGAAGTGTCTTGAAGAGCTACAAATATTCTGAAATAACTATAGTCCGGGATTGCTTGGCTATTTTTCAGTGCTTAAGATTTAAATTAGCTAATGTAGATGAAGCCATCTGGAACTGTGAGAGAAAAAAGACCAAAGAAACTTCTTCTCCACCTGATGACTTTAAGAGAAATAATGTAGAACTGAATGTATCAGAGTAAAAAACAGAAGCATGCTTAAAAGCAAAATTAAGACTTGAAATGATGATCCATATTGACTAGAAATATAGCACTTTATGCAGTTACCTTTCTCTTTTATTAAAGGTTTCATTAAAAGTTTATTGGTTTACCATTTTAAACTATATCTTTCTAAAATATTGCTCATTAATAGTATTTTGTATAGTTTGCTGCATGTACACTTCAGATCTTATTCTGTTCCCATGAACATTTATATCCTGATGATTTTAAACCTTAACGTATATTTTAAAATCGAGGTATATCACAGTATATTCAGAATCATTTTGGAACCATGTTCTGAAATAGATTAATTATAGAATAATTAATAATAATGATCTCCTTTTCTAAATAATACATAAGTAAAAATGGGACTAATTAATTAGATGCATGTTATAATGAAAATTTCAGATTATGTGCTGTTTTTTACTCATGCTTTTATTTAGTGGAATATTCCATAGTTTAATTTCCATTGAGAATATTTAAAAAAGCATTTACTTTGTATGAGAGCCACACTGGTATTAGTGACCAAAGAATAATATTAAAAAGCAAAATTAAAGAAAATATAAATAAAATTGAATTTTCCCCAAAAAATGTAATAAACATTTAAGAAATCAAAATTAGATTAAAACATTTCTTAAAATTTTAAGTGAAAGCATTAATTACAAAGTTATAAACCATTTTTAAAAATCAAGATCTTTTTTCAATATATATGATGTGTTATGTGTATGTATATACTTTTATATGCTTAGATCTACTCCAAATAACTAGATTTTTAATACCAGAGAAAGCAAAGCTTTGAAAATGTTGCAGATGAAATTATCAATATTTGTATCTGGATATATTACAATTTATGGTACATATGTGAATGTGCAAGCTGTCTTCATGAATGGAAATATTTGCTTTTAACTTTGCAAATGATGAGATCCTTGAATACTTACCATGAACAATATTCAATCTATAAACAGGATTTTGAGCACCAGCAACCCATCATGCCTTAGGGAAAGGTAGTTTTTGAGACCAGATCATAATAAAAGCCAATATTAACAAGCGCTTATGGTATGCTGGGCATTCTGCTAAGCACTTTACCAAGATAAATGTCATTTAATCCTCACTTAAATTTAACAGTGCCATGAAATTGGTATTGTTGTCATTCCCACTTTACCTCTCTTGTCCTATTTTATTGTATTGTATGCTCAGAGGGTAGAAAACTGCTCAACAAAGAATTTCATGTTTTATATATGTTTTTCTAAGATACCTTAACCATAATACCTTTAATAAAAACAAGTATACACACATGCACCTATATAATATCAAGCTCCAATTTCTGTGGGCCTTGGCACTGTTCTTTCTTATAGAAAGACCATAAAATATGTTACTGTTTAATAGATCAAATGAAAAGTAGTCTTTTGTGAAGACTTCATTAAATATTATCTAATCCTCCTTGCTTTCTAATTGAAAGAAGTAACTTTAAAATAGATCAAACTTCATTTGGAGGAGGACATCTGTAGGAGGGATGAGGTTGGGTGGAAATTGTTGCAAGTAGGGGCAGGTGCTTAGGAAGCTATGTGTTTATTGCAAAAATTCTGTACATTCATGTGCATATAAGTCATTTTTCAATTAATAGATAGTATAAACATGATCATCCAAGGGAGTCTGTGGAAAAAAAGGAAAGAGCATTGTCCTCAGAAAGATTGGCTATTACTAATATAATAGAAAGTGCCAAGATCTATTTCAAATAAATATAAGAGGATTTCTATAAATTAACCAGTACTGAACTAGTATTATACTATAGCGTTTTAAAATCACATAATCTAGTGATATAAAATTTGAAATTAATCCATTTTTGTGCATTTGATTCAGTCTTAAGATGTGATATAAACATCTCTTTGAAATCTAGCCATGACTGATAGAGCATAATCTAAATTTATACATCAAAGTGCTTAATTTTAATATATTTGTGACCTTACATATATGTAAAAATATTTTAAAAGGTTAAGGAAATGGAAGGAATTCTAAAGAGAAGATACCCCAATTCTTTACCTGCTTTAATATTGGCTGCATCAGCAGCTGGTGATACAGTGGATAGAAATACAGTGGACTTTATGGAAAAAAGGATAAAAAAACTAGAGGCTGATTTGGAGGGCAGAGATGAAGAAGCAAAGAAAAGCCTTCGGACCATGGAACAACAGTTCCAGAAAATGAAGGTAAGAGCCAGCTAGACCCTCAAGGTCTCAGTACGATGGGGGCTGGGCACTTCTCAGGTCTCATTTTTACAAATTACTAAACATCCTTCCCTATAAAACCTTTGCCATGAGTGTCAGCAGATGCAAAAGAAACCTAGACCCATCCTATCTTTTTTGTTTCAAGCATGGAAAATCAAGCACATGGCCCCCTCTCAGTGATAGTAGAATTAGTGGAAATTAAGTCATGAAAAGGCAGAGTAAAACACCTCTGATGTATATTCAATAAAAAATTGTTTTTTAGTTACCATGGTTGAAAATACTTTTTTGAAATTTCCCTAGATAAGGGAGAAGGGAGTAAGACAGAATATGTCTTGGGGGTAGAGTAGGCTGTTGAAAATTTTTTTCTGAGTTTTCTGATCCTTCATGAGGAAAGAATTTGAAAATACAAATGCTAGGATGACCAAGTATAAAAGAAGATGTGGTATTTCATTTACTTTTAAAAATTTGTTGAGCACACAGTTTCTGCGGTAATTCACGCTAGATGCTTTCACAGACATTTTAGTTCATCCTGCATCATCCTTCAGTCACTGGTGAGAAATAGATATTGCTATCCTGCTTTACAGACAGGGCAACAGAGATGTTCACAATTGAGCATCTTGCCTGAGGTGCTACTGCTGGTGAGGGATAGAGCAAGGCATCAAATCCTAGGCCAAGCTGCTTCTAGGAAGCAGATCTCATTCTCCACAGATTTCCATCCTGAGAGAAGCAACAGATGATAGGATATTAGATTCCAGAAACAGTAAAAGGTTGAAAACCTGGAAGTACATTGGCCTGCTAGTTAATTTAAGGTCCTATCAAGGAAGTTGGGTTTATTCCATCCTGTTTTTTAAATCTCTCAGTTCTCTACCTGGTTCTCTTTCTTCTCTCACTCTGCTAACTTCCAAGATGGACTTCTCTTTTAACCACCCAGTTTTCAACCATGCTTACCTTCCTCGCTTTCTGCTCCAGTTCACCCATCTCTTTCTCCACTCCTCCTCTCACACAAATCTGTGTTTCTGAGGAGATGGCCCAGTTGTGAGAGTCGGGCTGTCACAGGTGTGTAGGTGTCTGATCTTGCGAATTCCCTCAGTGCTACTTGGCAAGCCTATTGCTGTGGCTAATCAATTTCTTCTTCTATTCCCCTAAACGTTCACTCCAGACCTCCTTCCATCAAGTTCATCTGACCCCACACTACTTTTAATAGACTGCCTCTTATCCAAAGGAGACTGCAGTGCAGTGGAAAACACAGGCTTTTAGAGTCAGACCAGCCTTCTGTCCAGGCCCAGTTTCACCGTTATGGCTTCATGACTTTGCACTAGTTACTTCAGCTTGCTGAGTCTCCCTGTCCTCATATGTAAAGGTGATAATAACTGACTTAGTGCCAGTTATACCACTTTTACTCCTAAATTTCTTACAGTTTCCTTTGTCCCTTTTTATCACCATGTCACTCTACGGCCATCATTAATAAAAAATGGCTGGATAACTGTTGTAATCTCCTGACTAGTCTACACATACCCACTTCACCCCATCCATCCTCTAATCAGCTCTTGACAGTAAAGCCAAAATTATATTTCCGTATCCCTCAGTCTTACACACACACACACACACACACACACACACACACACACACCCTACCTTTATTTATATCCCTCAATAACTTCCTGTTCCTCTTAGGATAAATAGATGGCCTATAATTCCATGTATGGCCAGACCCCACTCGCTGTCCAATGTGTTCTCCCACGATGCTTTCTCTGTCCTGTTATACTAACATGTTTCTCCTACTTGCCATGTTTCCTGCAGCCACACATGTTGGCAGACTCTTGCCTCTGGTATGCTCTGCCCACCTCATTCACAGTAAAGGTATTCCTGTCCTTCAGCTCTCAATCCAGGTGTTGCTATCCCAGTGAGACCTTCATGGACTCCCTAGTAGAAAAATTATCTTACAGGCACTCTAGTCCCATGCACTTCTCCATTGCATCCACCACATTTCTGGCCATTTTGATTGGATCATGAGTGATCGCTCTCCCCATCTAGCTTCTGGACTTCATGATGGCTGGAACTGTTCTGCTTTTACTCACCATTGTGTACCATCATTCAGCAAGGTGCCTGACACAGAGCAGATGCTAAAATATTTTACTTAATTATTAATCCCTAATTCATAGGATATTGGAGGATCGAGTGGCAAAGTATATGTAAAGCCCTACTGCCTTGTCTGGAGTGTAGCAAACATTCAATAAATGATTATAATAATTCAACTGGTATTAGCATTCCACTCACCAAATAGAGGCATGAATTCCAACCCCCTACCCTATTTTTATATATCTAAATCTACCCACCCTGACTTTTCTTTTTGCATTTCCCTACCCCATGCCCCTCCTGTCCCTGCTCACTCTATCACTTCTTCTTTTCATTTCTGGTTCCCAGTACACACCAAACATTAGATTGCCTTTACATGTATTCTTCCTATTTCCAAAATGTCCCTGCTTCCGCTTATCCTCAAATTTACACTCATCTCTCAAGCCCAAACTTAAATGTGCTCCCTCTGTTGCAGTCTTCCCACCTTCTCTCAGGCCTCCAGACACACTGGGGTGCATCATCCCCATTGCACATATTCATAGGCCCATTATCACAGTTATCATAGGACATTGAAACGTGCCATGTCACTCTCCTGACCAGGCTGTGAACTGTTTGAAGGCTGCACTTCTTTATCTTTAGAATCTGGCACAATGCGTGGCATACAGCAGTAGCTCAATAAATATTCATTGAATGAACAAACACTGTAGTGCCTCCCTCCGCAGAGTAACCTATTTAGGTTATTTTGTTTGTAATACTAAAGCTCCAGTATAACAAATCCAAGCTGATTTACTCCCTATGAGATTCCTAAATTGATACTAGGAAGTTGAAAATGCACTATTTCTTAAAGATTTCAGTGCCCCCAATTGCTTTCCCTATTTCTCCTGAAAGCATACCGTTTGTCAATTTGCATAGAGAAGGTACATAATAATAGGTTCGATTGTGATACTTAAAATAAGTTTTGGGGTGTAGAGAAATGTGTAATTTTTGTTTATAAAGAAACACATTAATTGTGAAATTATACAACATATGGAGAATATATAACATTATGCCCTTTTAAGATTAGGACTTCAGTACATTTGACTGAGGGAATTCAGAGTTGGAAGCATTAGAATATGTAATGAGTGCCTGAATGAAGGAATAGGTAGGACCCAAAAGAACGCAGGGCTTCACTAACAAATGACCTACTTAGCAGTGGTTTTGACATGACACGGATTCTTTTCTTCAGATTCGGTATGAACAGAGACTAGAGGAACAGGAGCAGCTACTTGCCTGCAGATTAAAGGAGGCACCCCAGAACCAGCCTGACAGTGCCCGCAGGGTTGAAGCACTAGAGAAAGAGCTCGACGACATCAAGGAAGCCCATCAGATCACTGTCAGAAAACTTGAAGCTGAAATAGACATTCTTAAACATCAAAATGCCGAATTGGAACTCAAGAAAAATGATAAAGATGATAAAGATTTCCAGTCTATAGAATTCCAGATAGAACAAGCTCATGCTAAAGCTAAGCTGGTGAGACTTAATGAGGAGCTGGCTGCGAAGGGGAGAGAAATACAAGACCTTTCAAAAACTGTGGAGAGGCTTCAGAAGGAGAGAAGGATGATGCTGTCTAATCAGAACTCTAAGGGTAGAGAGGAAGTGACTGCAAAAAGGGTGAAGAAAGATGGCTTGCATTCAGGTAAAGGAAGTGCTAACTCATTCCCTGGGACCCTGGATGGCAAGCTTTACCAACCACATACTTTTACTGATTCCCATGTTTCAGAGGTTTTACAAGAAAACTGCAGATTGAAAAATGAACTGGAGAGATTAATTGTGGAGAGGAATGAGCTAAAGATGAAATCTGAAGCAGCAATGAACCAATTTGAAAATTCCATGAAAAGGTAAAATGTGAATCTGTAATTATATGGGGACATATAAAGATAAAAACATCAAAATTATAAGAAGTATTTCCTCTGGTGGTTTTAGCCTGAACTGAATTCATTACCAAATTTTAAGAAATTGCATTACATTGCTAAGCATAGATCTCTTTCAGAGTAGGATCCTCTACCTGTTGGAAGCCCAGATTCTGATAAACCTGAATCTCCATGTCAACCTGAACCATGTCCTCGGGCTGACAAATCCTGTCTTTCCGCATTTATCTAGGTAGTGTTAATAAGCTGACCCATTGGGCCTTTTTGCAAATGAATGTCATCATTGATGACAGACTGCAGAAAACAGCTATTACTAAAACTAGTTGAACATGTGCGCCTGGGTAGCTCAAGTCAATTGGACGTGTAACTCTTGGTTTCGGCTTCGGTCATAATCTCATGGGTCCAAGCCCTGTGTCAGGTTCCGCACTCAGCAGAAAGTCTGCTTGAATTTCTCTTCCTCTGCACCTGCCCCCCTGCCTCCGCTCATATACTCGCTCTCTCTCTCCCCCCTCTCTAAAATAAATAAGTCGTTAAAAAAAAAACAAAACTAGTTGGCATTCTAAGAGGAAAAGGTCTTCTTTTCCAAAGTAACTCTTCAAATTAATCTAGTGCTCACATCCATTCACGCCTTGAAGAACTTTCATGCTTATCCCTTTCCTTCTCAAAATCACTAGGTACTGTCTACTGTCTCTTTCTCTGAGCCCTTCTAACATGCTCAGATCTTTTTCACTGTCATCAAACCAAGTCCTAGTCCTCTTTCTGTCAGTACCAGTTTTCCACAAGTTACCTCTTATTTGTACCTCACTTTTTTTTTTTAATTAACATATAATGTATTATTTGTTTCTGGGGTACAGGTCTGTGATTCATCAATCTTACACAATTCACAGTGCTCACCATAATACATACCCTCCCCAGTGTCCATCACCCAGCCACTCCATCCCTCCAACCCCCCTCCACGCCAGCAACCCTCAGTTGTTTCCTGAGATTAAGAGTCTCTTATGGTTTGTCACCCTCTCTGGTTTCATCTTGTTTCATTTTTCCCTCCCTTCCCCTATGATCCTCTCTCTTGTTTCTCAAAATCCTCATATTAGTGAGATCATATGATACTTATCTTTCTCTGATTGATTTATTTCGCTAAGCATAATACCCTCTAGTTCCATCCACATCGTTGCAAATGGCAAGATTTCTTTTTTTGATGGCTGCATAATATTCCATTGTGTGTGTGTGTGTGTGTGTGTGTGTCGTCTTTATCCATTCATCTGTTGATGGACATCTAGGCTCTTTCCATAGTTTGGCTATTGTGGACATTGCTGCGATAAACATTGGGGTGCACGTGCCCCTTCGGATCACTACATTTGTATCTTTGCAGTAAATACCCAGTAGTGCAATTGCTGGGTCGTAGGGTAGCTCTATTTTCAACTTTTGGAGGAACCGCCATACTGTTTTCCAGAGTGGCTGCACCAGCTTATATTCCCACCAACAGTGTAGGAGCTGGCTGCGAAGGGGAGCTCTCCGCATCCCCGCCAACATCTGTCGTTTCCTGACTTGTTAATTTTAGCCATTCTGACTGGTGTGAGGTGGTATCTCATTGAGGTTTTGATTTGGATTTCCCTGATGCCGAGTGATGTGGAGCACTTTTTCATGTGTCTGTTGCCCATTTGGATGTCTTCTTTGCAGAAATGTCTGTTCATGTCTTCTGCCCAATTCTTGATTGGATTAGTTGTTCTTTGGGTGTTGAGTTTGAGAAGTTCTTTATAGATTTTGGTGACTAGCCCTTTATCTGATGTGTCATTTGCAAATATCTTCTCCCATTCTGTCGGTTGTCTTTTGGTTTTGTTGACTGTGTCCTTTGTTGTGCAGAAGCTTTTTATCTTGATGAAGTCCCAATGTTCATTTTTGCCCTTGCTTCCCTTGCCTTTGGCGATGTTTCTAGGAAGAAGTTGCTGCGGCTGAGGTCGAAGAGGTTGCTGCCTGTGTTCTCCTCAAGGATTTTGATGGATTCCTGCCTCACATTTAGGTCTTTCGTCCATTTTAAGTCTATTTTTGTGTGTGGTGTAAGGAAATGGTCCAGTTTCATTCTTCTGCATTTGGCTGTCCAGTTTTCCCAACACCATTTGTTGAAGAGACTGTCTTTTTTCCATTGGACATTCCTTCCTGCTTTGTCGAAGATTAGTTGACCATAGAGTTGGCACCTCACTTCCTCTTAACCAGGACTCTCGTCCTCACCACTCTTTGAAATGTCATCTCTCAGTAGTGACCTTTCCTGGTCCAGTGATGTTGTCTCTATTCTCATTTCCTTGACATTATTGACTTTCCTGAAATATGGGTTTCCTCCCATAACCTCCATGACTGACACCTCTGACTAACACTCCTCTTCTGGGTCTTTTAACTAACTCTGACTCCTCTTCATTCTCCTTCCTCAAAAATCAGGCTTCTGCCATGGTTCATTTTCAGCTGTTTATTGTCTGTTCTTTCTCTGTTGCTAAATTCATCCATTCTTGTGGCTTCTATGAATCATGACTCCAGTTTACTTTTCAAGGCTTGTTTTCTTCCCTAAGCACAGATGTTAAATCTACCATTTTCTGGATTGTTTCTCTTGGAATCAGTAGTATCTCAAATTTTACTCCATTTTTACCTGTAAACTAGCTCCTCCTCACAACTTTTCTATCTCTGTCTATGACCATATTTTACAGTTGCCAAGTCCAGCTACCCTCCTTTATTTCTTGGGCTCACAGTTTATGGGGTGCTTCCTTACAAATATGTCTCCTTTTGCTTTCTACCTTCCTGTAGAAAGCAGCCTTACCTGGTTTACTAGACAGCTTCCCCACCCTAATCTCCCTGATTTTAGTTTCTGTCTCCCCCAATCATTTTGCTTAAAAACGATTAATATTCTTTAAATATTCCTGTATCTGAGTTACACTGCCCTCCACTGACTCCTTGCTTCCTGAAGTATCAAGACTAAATTACTCTACGTGGCTTTCCAAGTGCCATCACCATTATAGGACCTCTCTGTGGCCTGACTTACTGAATGTCTTTGCTGCCTTTTGCTCATCCATGTTTCAAGTACTGCCTCTTCCACAAAATATTTCCTAGAGCCTCCCAGGAAATTTCCTGCTCCTGGCTCCTCTATAATTTATGTACCAAGTACCAATATTAAGTACCAAGAAAGCACTAGTCATACACTGCCTTGTAACTCCTTAAGAACTGATGTAAGATTATACTTCTTTTGCAACCTGGCATAGGAGCAGAGTGAGCATAGCAATATGCACCTAGACAAATATGTATCGATTGATTGGCAGCTATGTCTGATTGAGTCATCCTGGTAACCATAAGTGCTTCCAAACTGAAACCTTGTTTCTTGAGTCCTGAATGTGATGCTAGTAATGAAGGTGTTTGGAAACAATCACATTCTTTTCTGGAAATAATTTAAAATTGAAATTTTTCCTATAAATTTTTCTATCCATAATTTCGTATTGTTAATCTGTTTTTCAAATAGCCTCTGGGCCTGAGAAGTGAGGTGTAACCTTTCCCAATCCCAGATTTAGGCTGTTTCGGGTTTTTTTGTTCATTTGTTTTTTACTTTAGTTCAGTTATATCATAAGTGCTTTAGATTTTTATGCTTTTCCAAGGACCCTAATCACACCATTTCCATGAGGAAATATTCATATAGTCAAATAAGCCACTAATAAATTCGTTTATAGTTTGGGAATTGCCATATTAATATGTATCAACAGTGATTTATTCAGTATCTGCTTTGAGTAAAATCCTGTCAATTTTTAATAACTTTTCCAATAAGAGAAAATGGCTTATCTGTAAGAAATGTCTCAAGTGTTTATCAGAACTTTGTCACTTATTAAACTGCCTCTGAATGCATAAATTTTGTCACAGAGACAAATCAGTAGTATCTCACGCTTAACAATCCAAACAAATTAGGTGCAGGGTTACACTGGGTCCTAAAGAATTACTGTAAAGATTATTTTATTTTTATGATATGGCAGCTAGGTCTGGAGTCATATCCATGGACCAAAAACCAGTGAATGTTGCCTAGAGACAAAGCTTTGGAGATTCTAAAAGGAGCTGTGATTATCAAAATAAGAATCTGGGCAAAAACGTGAGTTTATCTTAAAAGATAAAATGTGAGGCCCTTGCTTTAAGTCCAGACAGAACATTTAGAACCTTTGATTCTAACAGAAAGTACAGCCCCAGGCTGGGGGTTGAGTGAAAGGCCCAGACTTTGAGCTCGGACTCTGCTGGGCTTGAACCCCCAGGTCTGCAATTTACTAATGAACTCTAGAGACATTCACTCTTTCCTAAACTCAAGTTTGCCCTTAAAAAATTGAGTAAATAATAGCTCATGGCATGGTTGTAAGATCTCACAGGCGATCATGTATAAAGCACCTGACAGAGTGCAGTAAGTATTGGTGCTCTCTCTCCCTTTGTTTCTTTAATTTCCAGACTTCTTACATTATTTTTGTGCTAATTCTGAATTGAAGAGCAGTTTTTATGTGTGATTTTCTTTGATTTGCTCTGCAGGGTCAAGGAAGATACGGCAGCACACATTGCATCTCTCAAAGCATCTCATCAGAGGGAAGTAGAGAAACTCCTTTGTCAAAATGCAGTAGAAAATTCTTCTTCCAAAGTAGCTGAACTAAATCGTAAAATAGCAACACAAGAGGTAGATGACTTTAACACACTTTCTTTGGCTTTAAAATTATTTTTTTCAGGACTGTTAACATTATTTAGAAATGCTTCAACTTCACTTTTTGATAGAAATGAGAAATTATTGACTTGATTTTTTTTTTATAGGAGAGGATGCCATTATCATGCATTTAACTGTTCTACTTTAAGATTATTCTAAATAAGGGGTTTCACAGTTTTGTCCCAATATTTCTCAGATAGTTCTTCTAAGGCAGTTGTAAGGGATGGTACAATCACATTATGTGATTGAGACCTGAGTACTTGAACTTGAATGTTGAACCATCTCCCTCCACCCAAGTGCCAGCTGACAAGTAATTATCCTAGTCGTTCTTCTTGCCCAATTACCTTTCATTCATTAAACAATGATTCGAGGTCTATAGACAATCAGGCACTGGGGATAAAATAATCAACAGAGAGATACACACAGCTGTAGCCATTACGAAGCATAGTTTTCTTAGAATTACGACAGAGTATGGTGAAAGTTCATCTGCATTTCTTCAAAAAAGTGTATCTTCCTTCTTGGTTAGTATGTACATCAACATGGAATATCATGAATATCTACTATGTGGCCCATCTTCTGTGGTGTTAGAAAACTGAAAAAACAGCATTGAGATAGAATTTGTATCTGTATCCCCCCTCCAAAAAAAAAAAAGCAAGCAAATATGGCAAAAATGTTAGCAATTGAAAAATCAAATTGAAGAATAGATAAATGTCCATTGTGCTCTTTTTTCTAGGTTTTAATTCTAAAAAACAAGCTGAGGGGGAAAACCAGGAAATGATGATCTTACCCCCACCTCTCCCATCAGTAATTATTTAATAGCATCTTGATTAAAAACAAATCACTCAGGGGTGCCCAGGTGGCTCAGTTGGTTAAGCATCCAACTCCTGATCTCAGCTCAGGTCTTGATCTCGGGGTCGTGATTTCGGGCCTTGGCCAGCATGGAGCCCACTTAAACTTCCCCAGTTGAGCGATTTTGTTTGTTTTTAGGGCCAGATAGTGGATATTGTGAACTTACTGTACATTATTTCAGCTATAAAAATGCTATTATGGGTTTGTGAGAAGGTGTCCTTATAAGGAGATGTGCGTTCCAAGTATTCAGAGAATTGAAGGCTGAAGGGTAATGAGGTCTATAATTCATGTAGCTCAGAAACCGAGAATTCTATTTTAATATTTCAATGAGAAAAATTTAGAGTGCTTTTCAAAGGTAATCATCATAGAGCAGATGCAGATAACTTCCCTGGCTCCCCCCCCCCGCCCCCCCGCCATGGGAGCAGGGTGTCAGTGGGCAGTGTAAACAGGATAGCAAGTCAGTATGGAGTTGGGAGAGGTGGATAAAGTAGTGTCAGGGCACCACACATGGTGTCCTTAATGTTACTTTCCCAGAGTTCTCAATGTTAAATTGTAAATTATGAGTTAAGTGGACGTCAGCATGGTCTGATGATAGAAACAGTAAAAGTAAAGCACTGGAGGTAAGCGATGCACATTTTTCCCAAGTTTTCAGTTTCTTGATGAAAGTATTTATGTATTTCAGTTGGCCAAAAATGTGTGACATTTATTTCATGCTAACACTAGGCTTGTGCTGTCTTTATTTTGTCAGTAGCTCTTTAATAAAAACTATTATCCTACTTAGTCACAAAGTAATACAGACAGTATTGGCTACTTTCTTCAAAATGCTTGGACTTTATAATAGAGGTTTATTTTAAAAGGTGTTTTTCAGGCCTCCAGAAGAAAAGTACTAGAGATAAAGAAGCCAAGTAGTTATGTAGCCATTAATTTGTAATATGTATGATGCTTTATATTAAATATTGAAACAAAAAAATGTGTATTCAATGAGCTTAATTAATCCAATGAACTTAATTCCTGTGGCAAATTATTTCCACATTAGAATTTGGTAATTTTAAAATATTGGGAATTTTTTTTTATTACAAACAGAAGTCATTAGTTGGTTTTCTTATATTTTTCAAATAATGTTTGAGGAAGAGCTTTTTTAACTCAGCACTTCTAACATGATTTCCTAGGTACTTCTAAAACATTTCCAAAATCAAGTTAACGAGCTGCAGGGTAAACAGGAGTCTCTTGTAGTTTCTCAGGTTCGAGAAGAAATCCTACAGAAGGAGGTAAGAAATAAGAAAAATATTGGACTAACATAAGCTTTTCTTCACCATTTCAATCATATTATTTTTGTATAAATTTTTTTAACAAATGTACAAGTAGAAACAACCTGAAAATATTTATCACATGTCAAAACATTAATAACTTGTTTATGGTAAGTCTGCTTTCCCCAGATGAAACTCTCTCAAGTTTCTTATGTATTTGATGCTTGAGATTTTTCTGGGCAATGAGGAAATAGAGGGGAGGGGTATTTAGTTTTTTTTTTTTTTAGGACATAAAATTGGATGGTTAAGGCCACTTCTGCATTAAGTACTAATACTATTTAATTTGGTTAAGAAATAGAGACAGCTGTCATTATAATCATGCTGGATTCCCAGTAACAATATCATAGGAAATAGATCTTTCTGGAAACTCATTTTTATCACTCTAGATCCTTTTGATTCTAGAAAGTATAAAAAAAAAAACAGATAAACTGTGCATTCTGTTCTTTGAAGCATATACACCATTTATTATTCAAGGATTTATTAAACCCTATAAGCAGAACATATAATTGCAATATAAAAAGATTAATCTGAAAACACTCCACAATTAGGTAACTATCAAAAAGTTTTGTTTGAATAATTGAAAGGCTGTAGTTCAGCATGTGTGCATTCTTTTCAGTGTTTAAGATGTACATAAACATTGTATAAGCAGTAATTTAACAGAACTTCACAGACCTAAAGTAAACTTTTGGGGAAAAGCAATAAAAGGAAGTATGTTCTAGTGTTTGCAAGATAAAGGTCAGTTTTAGTCAAGTTTACAGTGTTCTTAGTTTAAGAATAGCTAAACTATTTATTTTGAAAACAGAAAAGCTGCAACACATGATTTTCAAACCTATTTACTGGAAAACTAAGTAAAACACTCCATCTCTTGAATAAAATAACGACAATCTGCCTTTTTAATTTGCAGTACATTTATAATAGTTGTTTGAACAGGGCTTATTTATTCCCATTACTGATAACCTTTTGAGGGCCCTCGAGGGGATTTTTCTCTCAGGCTGGTGGGAATAGTTCATTTCCCAGCCCTGCAGGAGTTCCCAGAATTATTCAGGCTACCAGTTCCACTGGCTTCGGAACTGCCTCAGGGCAGCCAGCTAGGCAGTCTTAGAGTTCACCTTGTATGTTTTCCATCCCTCATGAATCACTGTCCTGCAGTGCTGTTAGCTAGGGTTTGAAAACGGTTGTTTCACATGTCGTTTGGTTTTTCGGTTAAGAAAGGAGGGTAAATCCCAGTCTCTTTCTGACCACAAGAAAAAGCACAATACATTTGTTTATTATGTTAATCACCATACATTACATCATTAGTTTTTGATGTAGTGTTCCATGATTCATTGTTTGCATGTAACACCCAGTGCTCCATTCGATACATGCCCTCTTTAATACCCATCACCAGGCTAACCCATCCCCCCATCCCTCTCTAGAACCCTCAGTTTGTTTTTCAGAGTCCATAGTATCTCATGGTTCGTCTCCCCCTCCGATTTTCCCCCCTTCATTCTTACCCTCCTTTTTTTATTTTAACATATAATCTATTATTTGCTTCAGAGGTACAGATCTGTGATTCAACAGTCTTGCACACTTCACAGTGCTCACCATAGCACACACCCTCCCCAATGTCTATCACCCAGCCACCCCATCCCTCCCACCCCCCACCACTCCGGCAACCCTCCGTTTGTTTCCTCATTAGGATTAAGGATATGAGGATTAAGAATTCCTCATATCAGTGAGGTCATATGATACGTCTTTCTCCGATTGACTTATTTCGCTCAGCATAATACCCTCCAGTTCCATCCACGTTGTTGCAAATGGCAAGGTTTCATTCCTTTTGATGGCTGCATAATATTCCATTGTATATATGTATACCACATCTTCTTTATCCATTTAACAGTAGCAAATTGTTTTGTTTTTTGACTGCTTGTTGTTATTCTAGCTCTATAGAAAAAAGTGATTTAAAATTTTCCAGCATAGTTCAAGACATTGAGAAGTGAACTATCTCCCACTACTGTGTTAATCGTGAAAACCTGAAAAGATTTTTCTAATTTCTGCATTTTGTTCCATGCCTATGTTACCTAAAGTGTTGTTAAACCACATCTCTTTTAAAATCATATCTGCTGCCAATAGGCTAAAAACATTACCAAGCGTCTGGTGTATATTCATTCAGTTGATGCCATCTCAGCCATGTATTCCTCAAATTTTTTTGAATATTAAAATGAGAAAGGTAATCTTTCATGTTTTAGCATTCATCATAGATTTCTGGTCTTATTTTTCCCCTCACTGTTGACTCCAACCATCTATTTATTTCCTTGCCCCCTGAAGTTGAAGACTTGAATCTTAACTCCTTAAATTTAGACAACTGAGGGGATTGCTGCTATTATTGTTTCCATGTTCTGCAGGTAATATATGCATTTTATTGGTCATAGTTTCTTTTTCATCAATAGGTTTTATCTGTATAGTCTATACAAATTTTAGAAACCATTCAAGAGTGACCTCTAACATGGAAACCCAAGGACTATTACAGTGACTCCTAAAAATTATCAAAATTCTTGTAATTTGTGTCAAATATGCTACAGCTAGCTGCTTTTATGTTACGAATGTTATGATAAGATCTGGGCTTAAGTTGTTAAATATGTCAGTGAGCCTTATGGTGGCAAGTCATGTAAACATTTAGAGTGATACAGTGACCGTAGGCCACACTTGGTACTCTGGCTGCAGACCAGGAAACACAAGGCAACAGCAGGCATGAGTAGGTCCCACAGCAGTCCACACAGCTGTCCCAGGGACAGCCCACGTGCAAGGGAATAAGACTCACATCTGGCAGTTGGAGGAACCACCCAGGCTTAGACTCCCCCCACTCCACAAGAACCAGCGTCTCTTATAATAACTCATGCACAGTGGACCCCACAAGGACATGCCCAGTGCAAGAGTCACTGCACTCAGGAGAGCCCAAACTTGCCCCTACCTGTCCCACCAGGTATTTCAGTTCATACCAAGTCCTCCAAGCCCAGGTGATTTTCCACCAGTCGGGGCGTTACCACAAGCAGTGTACATATTTGACATCTACCTTTATCAAGGGAACAAAGCTAGAATGTGAATTGAACCCAAGGTCAGTCTCTATGTAGAATGAAGAATTACATTTACCCTTTACCCACAGCCATTTGCTAGTGTTTGTAACTCTCTCAGTCTCAGGGGGGGGTTTTTTAGCTATTTTTTTTTTTTTAAAGATTTTATTGATTTATTTGACAGAGAGAGACACAGCGAGAGAGGGAACACAAGCAAGGGGAGTGGGAGAGGGAGAAGGAGAAGCAGGCTTCCCGCCGAGCAGGGAGCCCGATGCGGGGCTCGATCCCAGGACCCTGGTGAGCCACCCAGGTGCCCCTTTTTTAGCTATTAAATGGAATAAAATCTACTTCCTAGCATTTAAAAAGTGTTTAGGTGTCAGGCACTGTCAATAGGCTTTTTGGGATAAAGAAATGAGTAGAACACCTAAAGGTGTCACCCTCAAAGAGTTTGCATTCTAGTGAGTGGGACAGAAAAATAAACCGATCCATATAGACTGTAAGGTCCCCCAGCTAACTTTCTTTGCATCAGAACTGAGCCACATGCCCACCTCCAAACCAGGCATTGCCAGCGGACAGTGGACAGCAGTAACGGGCTTAAATCGGTCAGTATCTCTTTCCGTGCTAGACCATATTAGAATCTAGACTCCCTGGATTAAGTGTTGACAACCGCTAGCATTCATCCCAGCAGTGTGGCCAGGAAAATGCATCGTGCCAGTAAGTTGCAGAGTATGAAGGCACACGAGATGGTTGAAAGCACACGGACTCAAGCCGGTCATGCTCATTTAAAGGAGTAAAAATAGCGTAATTTTATGGTCCAGTTTGAATTGAAATTTGTAGTTGTAAGATTCTGTACTCACCAGAGTATAAGAGGACAGAGTATATAGGTCTTCTCTGGAAAGAGGTCTGTGGGATATGCATGGATCATCTGAATTCCCTTACCTGAGCCTCCTGCTGCTATTGGTCAGTGATGTCTGTCTCCTTTACCTTTAGTAACATGATCTGGGAGAATCACTCTTTCACTTTAGTAAAACAATAAACTAGTAAGACAATTAGAATTTTATTCATTAAGGAATATATGCTTTTTTTTTATTGATGTTATTCACTTCTATCCTGGTTGAGTATGGATTTTTATAAATAATATTTATTTAACATTTATTTTAATATAAATATTATATATTTAAGAATATATTTTTATATTGATTAATATATATTAGAAGGTATAAAAACGCCCATGATCCCATTACCCAGAGCATATTTTGCTATATATTCTTCCAGATTTCATTTATTCATATACAGATACAAATACTGAGGGTGTGTGTTCATGCATGCACACATATAAAATACATGTTTGTGTATGTGTGTATGCATATATGATTTTTAAAGGATGTTTTTTACCTAACAGTATATATATATTCTCATGTCAGTATATACTTTTTCTCATTTTTTTCCAATTTTATTGAGATATAATTGACATACACTACTATATAAGTTTAAGGTATACAGCATAAAGATTTAACTTACATATATCATGAAATGGTTACTACAGTAAGCTTAGTTATCCATAAAGAAAAAGATTTTTCTTACCTTATGATGAGAACTCTTAGGATTTACTCTTAAAAACTCATATATACCATGCAGCAGTGTTAACTATGGTCCTCATGCTGTACATTGAATCCCTAGTATAGTTATAACTGGAAGTTTGTTCCTTTTTGATCACTTCATACAATTCCCCTTTTTCCCACCCTTTCCTCTCCACCTCTGCTAACCACAAATCTCATCTATAGGAGTTTGGGGTTTTTTTGTTTGTTTGTTTGTTTGTTTTTAAGATTCCACATATAAGTGAGATCATATGATATCTGTCTTTCTCTGACTTATTTCACCTAGTATAATACTGTCAGGGTTCAACCATGTTATCACAATGGCATGATTTCCTCCTTTTTTGTGGCTGAATATATATCACATCTTTATCCATTCACCCATCAGTGGACACTCGGGTTCCTTCCATGTCTTGGCTATTATAAACAATGCTGCTATGAGCATGGGGGTGCAAATATCTTTTCAACATAGCTGTCTTCAGGTAAATACCCAGATGAGGAATCACTGGATCATATGGCCATTCAGTTTTTAATTTTTTAGGAGCCCCCCATACTCATTCTCATAGTGGCTGTACCAGTTTACAACCCCAGCAACAACATACATGGGTTCCCTTTTCTCCACATCCTGACCAGCATTTGCTGTCTTTTTGATGCTAACCATTCTAACAGGTGTGAGGTGATACTGCAGTTTTGATTTGCATTTCCTTAAAGATTAGTGATGCTGAACATTTTTTCATGTACCTATTGGTTATTTATGTATCTCTGGAAAAATGTCTATTTAGGTCCTTTGCCCATTTTTTAATTGGATTATTTGGGGTTTTTTTGCTATTGAGTTATGTAACTTTTTTATTTATTTGAGAAGTAGACTCCCCACTGAGCAGGGAGCCCAACGCAGGGCTCAACCCGGGACTCCAGGATCATAACCTGAGCTGAGGGCAGACGCTTAACCGACTGAGTCACCCAGGTGCCCCTATAAATTCTTTATATATTTTGTATATTAACCCCTTATCAAATACATAGTGTGCAGATATTTTTTTCCATTCCATAGATTCTTTTCATTTTGTTGATTTTTCTGTACAGAAGCTTTACAATTTAATATAGTCCCAACTTGTTTTTTATTTTGTTGCTTGTGCTTTTGGTGTCATATCCAAAAAATTGTTGCCAAGACCCATGTCAAGGAGCTTTTCTGGTTTTTCTAGAAATTTTCTGGGTTCAGGTCTTACATTTAAGTCTTTAATCCATTTAAGGTTAATTTTTGTGAGTGGTATAAGATAGGGATCTAGTTTCATTCTTTTACATGTGAATATTCAATTTTCCCAACACCATTAATTGAAGAGACTGTCTTTTTTTCCACTGAGTATTTTTGGCTCTCTTGTCAAATATGACTATGTGTCTGTTTTTGTGCCAGTACCATACTCTTTTGATTACTACAGCTTTATAATACAACTTGAAATTAAGAAGTAGGATACATCCCACTCTCTTTCTCAATATTGCACTGACTATTCGGGGTCTTTTGTGGTCCATATAAATTTTAGGATTATTTTCTCTATTACTGTAAAAAATGCTGTGGGAATCTTGATAGCGATTGCATTAAATCTATTGATGGCCTTGGGTAGTATGGACATTTTAACAGTATTGATTCATGCTCGCTTCGGCAGCACATATATTAACAGTATTAATTCTTATAATCCATATCCAGGAATATGGATTATAAGAATTAATACTTTATTTTGTATCTACTTCAATTTCCATTATCAGTGTCTTGTAGATTTGGGTATAGAAATCTTTCACCGCCTTGTTTATGTTCATTTTTAAGAATTTTATTTATGATGCTTTTTAAATGGTATTTTTTTCAGAGAATTCATTACTAGTGTACAAAAACACTACTGATCTTTAATTTTGTATCCTGCAACTTTACTGAATTCATTGATTAGATCTAACAGTTTTTTTGGTGGAATTTTTATAATTTTCTCTATATAAAATCATGTCACTTGCAAATAGAGACAGTTTTAATTCTTTCCTATTCTGATGCCCTTTCTTTCTTTTTCTTGCCTGATTGCTCTGGCTAGGGCTTCCAGTACTATAATGAATAGGAGTGGTGAGGGTGAGCACCCTTGTCTTGTTCATGGTCTTAGTAAACCTTTCAAGCTTTCACCATTGAATCAGGAATTCAATGTGGGCTTATGATATATTATCATCATTTGAAGTACATTCCTTCCACACCTAATTTAAGAGTTTTTATCATGAACAGATGTTAAATTTTATCAAATGCTTTTTCTGCATCTATTGAGATGGTAATATGATTTTTTTCTTCATTCTTTGTGATCTATTACACTGATTTTCATATGTTGAACCATCTTGCATTCCAGAGATAAATTCCACTAGATCATGGTGAAGGATACTGTTAATGTACTGCTGAATTCAAACTGCTAGTATTTTATTGAGAGAATTTCCACTCATTCATCAGAGATAGTGGCCTATAGTTGTCTGATAGGGTCTTAAAAAAAGAAAAAAAATTTTTTCTAAAGATTTTTAAGTAATCTCTGCACCCAATGTGGGGCTCAAACTCATGACCCTGAGGTCAAGAATCGCATGTTCTACTGACTGGGCCAGCCAGGCAACCCTGACAGTCCCTTTATCTGGCTTTGTTGTTAGGGTAATGCTGGCCTTATTAAATGAATTTGGAAGTGTTCCCGCCTCTTCTGTATTTTGGAAGAGTTTGAGAAGGATTGGCATTAATTCTTCAAATGTTTGGGAAAAATTCACTTATGAAGTCATCTGGTCCTATTGGGAGATTTTTTACTTATTAGAATTCTCATTCACTTGACTACTTCGTTCACTAGACCAGAACTTCCAGCTGGTGTACAGGAATGGGTTCCCTGTGGATCGTAAGATAGTGATGACTGGAAATGTTGTCTCATTAAAAACTCAAAATTTTCAGTCATTAAAAAGTTTATGTGTTGAAGTGATATTTAACCATTATGTGTATGACAGTGCCAATCATCCCAATTAAAGTCTGCAAATTTCTTTGGTCACTGATGATATCATCAGGGATGTCCCACATTTAAATATTTAGATTTATTTAGATTTGCTCCTGATTTAATTTGCTTGTATTTTCACATTTTAGAAACTAATTAGGAATTGTATGGGGTTTAGCGGTGGGGGGTAGGGGTTGTGTTTTGGGTTTTCTTTTAGTGTTATCAGTGTTTTTATTAAATACTGAGTGTTCCATGGGAAACATGATTGAATTTGTTCATTTTAACCATTTTCACTTGCTTATTATTTTGCCTTTTGCTACTAACAATTAGAAAATTATTATAATTATGTGGTATAAAGAAAATACATTTGTTTCACCAAGCCCAATAGAAAGATCTCTCAGATCCCCTCTGTTTTACTAATGGGTGCCATGAAAATATTACCATTTTCTCTGTTGACCATAGTAATGAAAAGGAAGGTACCACACTAGACTGTAACCTCCATGAGTATGGACTATGTCTTTCATGTCTGTATCCTCAGGACCTAAGACAACAGCCAGGACAGAAAGAATTCAGTATATTTTCTCAGAAAGAGGTTGAACTCTTCTGTGTGTTGGGTGCTATACTGTGTAGGGTGCTTTAAATGTATTCTATAACCCTAAAAGTAATCAACCTTGTTAAATACATTGATACTTTGTTAGCAAAGCTAAATATACCAAAGACAGTGCCTACCTTCATTTTGAATGCTGTAATCAGCCTGGCGTACATGGGAGGAGGTGATCCAGTCATCTAGAACCTTTTGGATTATGAGGTCATTTCAGAGCTAGGATGAGCCTTTTCTTCCTGAACATAGGGAATGCAAACTATTAATTCTAACAACTCAAGATATTTTTCTTATTAACCAGAAGCCTCTTCTGTAGAGAAATTTTATACAAAGAAAATATAGTAAATATTCTTAAAACTACCTGGTAAAAAATTTATTTTTCTTACCAGTTTTTCATTTATTTCGTATCTCAATTTTAGATTACAAAACTCCTAGAAGAACTAAGAGAAGCCAGAGAAAACCATACACCAGAGATGAAACATTTCATGGGCTTAGAAAAGAAAATTAAACAGATGGAAATGAGACATCAGCAAAGAGAGCAGGAACTTCAACAGGTAAAGTAGTAAATTATATTTACATATTTGTATAGCTCTTCACTTTTAAGTACCTCCAGTTTGCTATAGGTTGGCCATCCCTAGCCAACACTTCCTAAAGTATTTCATTGTGTATTGATATTAAGAATAAAAATACAGCTTTTAAGAGCATATAAGACTTTATGTATTTGAAATTTAAAGATTGGTCTTATCTCTGGAATAACAGAGAAACAACTTGTATCTTTTTTTTTTTTTTTTTTAAGATTTTATTTTAGAGAGAACACAGCAGGGGAAGGAGCAGAGGGAGAGGGAGTGGGAGGAGGGGAAAGAATCTCAAGCAGGTTCCAAGCTGAGCATGGAGCCTGATGCATGGCTTGATCATGACCCTGAGATCACGACCTGAGTCCAAACCAAGAGTTGGATGCTTAACCAACTGAGCCACCCAGGTGCCCCTCATGTTCTTAATCATTGATGGTTGCCTAAAATGTTAGGCGTTTTATCCTGGGAATGAGTCTTTGGAAGCCATATTCCATATTCATTTCATAAATGTTTGTAAGAAGTAGAATTATATTAAAAAGTAATCATTTAAAACATATGGCCAGCACTAGTAATATCACAATTACTCTTCTTAACTACAAACAGATAAATTAATAGAAATTAAAAATGGCAGAAGTAAGGGCATGATGTTTTTAGGCATTAACCTTTCTGCTGATATTTAGCTTTGCTTGAACAGTATATTGGTCTGCTTGAGCTGCCAAACTGAGTTGCTTGGAAAACATAAAATTTTTTTTTACCAGCTGATTCATTCTGGTGAGCATGCTGTTCCTGGCTTGCAGAGGCCTTTCCTCAGCACGTGTGCCTTGGGGTGAGGGAGGGCGAAGAGAGAAAGAGCTCGCTGATGTCTTTTCTTATAAGGACACTAATCCAGTCTGATCAGGACCCCATCCTTATGACCTCATTTAACCTTAATTAGTTCCTTACCCCAAATACAGCCATACTGTGAGTTAGGGCTTCTATGTATGAAAGGGGGGTTGTTGGGGACACAGAAAAAATTCAGTCTGTAACAGTGTAAATGTATATATACTTTGAAAACAAAAAATACCACAGAAATGCAAAGGTTTATGGTTGACCTGAGTCCCACAGAGAAACCCTAGCTGTTTAATCATATCAGAATTTTAGCTCTTTATCGTTATAGGAACTACAAAATGTAAAATGGATGACAAAGATTAGTGTGATTGATTTCTCATTCTTACATAGGGTGACTGAATGGATAAAAAGAAAGAAAAAAAAAACCTCTGTATGCTACCTACAAGAGATTCACTTCAGACCTAAAGACATATAGATTGAACATAGAGATGGAAAGAGATATCCCATGCAAATGGAAATCTTTTAAAAAGGTAGCAACACACATCAGTCGTGAGACAAGGGCATTACATAATGATTAAGGGATCAATCTAACAAGAGGATATAACGATGGTAAATATTTATGCAACCAACATAGGAGCACCTAAACATATAAATCAAATATAAACATACATAAAAGGAGAAAGTGACAGTAATATCATATTAGTAGGGGATTTTAACACCCTCTCTTACATTAACGGATAGATCATCTGGACAGAAAATCAATTAAAAAACCAGTGGCTTTGAACAACACATTAGACCAGATATAATTAATGGATATTGGATGTAATATGCTGTATATAACAGCAGCATATACATTTTCAAATGCACATGGAATGAGCTTTAGGATAGATCACATTAGGCCACAAAATAAGTTTCAGAATATTAGTAAGATTAAAATCAAAACAAGCATCTTTTCCAACCACAATGGTATGAAACTACAAATCAATTACAAAAAAAAATACAACACAAATACATGGAGGCTAACCAAGGTGCTACTAAATAATCAATAGGTCAATGAAGAAATCATAGAGGAAATTTTAAAATGCCTTGAGACAAATAAAAATGGAAACACATTCCAGAATTTTTTTTTTTTAAAAGACTTTATTTTTTATTTATTTGACAGAGAGAGACACAGCAAGAGAGGGAACACAAGCAGGGGGAGTGGGAGAGGGAGAAGCAGGCCTCCCCACTGAGTAGGGAGCCCGATGTGGGGCTCCATCCCAGCACCCCGGGATCATGACCTGAGCCGAAGGCAGACACCCAACAAATGAGCCACCCAGGCGCCCCAACATTCCAGAATCTTTTGGACACAACAAAAGCAGTTCTATGAGGGAAAATTTTTATAGGTATACAGGCTTACCTCAAGAAACAAGAAATATCTCTGGGCACCTGGGTGGCTCAGTCAGTTAGTGTCTGCCTTTGGCTCAGGTCATGATTTCCGGGTCCTGGGATCAAGCCCCGAATTGGGTTCCCTGCTCAGTGGGGAGTCTGCTTCTCCCTCTCCCTACCCACTTGTGCTCACTCTCTCTCAAATAAATAAAATCTTAAAAAAAAAAAAAAAACCTCAATCTAACATCACACCTAAAGGAACTAAAAAGAACAAAGCTCAAATAAAGGAGAAGGAAATAATAAAGATCAAGACAAAAATAAATGAAATAGAGACCAAAAAATAGAAAAGATCAATGAAACTAAGAGCTGGTTCTTTGAATGATAAACAAAATTGATAAGCCTTTAGCCAGACTCATCAAGAAAATGAGAGGACTGCAGTAAATACAATCAAAAATGAAAGAGGGGGAATTAACAAATACCACAGAAATACAAAGGTTTATAAAAGACTACTACTATGAAAAGTTATATGCCAACAAATTGAACAACTTAGAAGAAATGGGTGTCTATAAATACACAGTCTCCCAAGACTGAATCAGGAAGAACTAGAAAATTTGAACAGACTAATTACTAGTAACAAAATTGAATTGGTAATCAAAAAACTCCCAACAAAGAAAAGTCTAGGACCAGATAGCTTTAAATGTTGGAAGAATTCTTTATACCCGTAAAGAATTAATACCATCCTCTTCAAACTATCCAAAAAAAAAAAAAACTGAAGAGGAGGGAATGCTTTTAAAGTCATTCTACAAAGCCAATATTACCCTGATACCAACAACAGACAAAGACACTACAAAAAAGAAGAAATTACAGACTCTATCCCTAATGAACATAGATGCAAAAATCCTTAACAAAATATTAGCAAACTGAATTCAAAAATACATTAAACAGATCATTCACCACAATATGGGGGGATTTATTCCAGGGATGCAAGGATGGTTGAGTATCTTCAAATCAACATGATATACCACATTAACAAAAGATAAAAATCATATGATGATCTCAGCAGATGCAAAAAAGCATTTGACAAAATTCCACATACATTCATGATAAAAATTCTCAACATACAGGCTATAGAGGGAACATAATAAAGGCTATATATGACTAACCCACAGCTAACGTAAAACTGAAAGCTTTTTCATGATCAGGCACAAGGATGTCCACTCTCGGTGCTTTTACTCAAGATAGTACTGGAATTCACAGCCACAGTAATCAGGAAGAAATAAAAAGCATACAAATTGATAAGGATGAAGTACAACTGTTGCTCTTTATAGATAGCATGATACTGTATATTGAAAACCCTAAAGACTCCACCAAAAATCAGAATAAATGAATTCAGTAAAGTTGCAGGATACAGACATCTGTTGCATTTCTATATATTAAAAACTAGCAAAAAGAAATTAAGAAAACAATCACTTTATAACTGCATCAAAAAGAATAAAATATGTAGGAGTAAATTTAATGTAAGAGTTAAAAGACCTGTACTCTGATAATTCTAAGACCCAGATGAAAGAAATTGAAGATGACAATAAATGGAAAGATATACCATACTCATGAATTGGAAGAATATTGTTCAAATATTCATAGTACCCAAAGTAGTCTGCAGATTCAGTGCAATCCCTATGAAAATATCAACAGTACAAAAACAAAACAAAACAAAACAAAACTCAAAATGGATTAAAGACCTAAATGTAAGACCTGAAACCATAAAACTACAAAAATAGTAAACTCTTCAAATCAGTCTTGGCATTTTTTTTTTGCATATGTCTCCTCAGACAAGGAGAACAAAAGCAAAAATAAACAACTGGACTACATCAAACTAAAAAGCTTTTGCACAGCAACGGAAACCAACAAAAGGAAAAGGAAACCTTCTGAATGTGAGAAGGTATTTGCAAATGATATATCCAATAAGGGTTAATATCTACAACATATAAAAAACTCATAACTCAATGCCAACAAAAATCTAATTTAAAAATGGGCAGTGGACCTGAATAGTTTTACAAAGACATACAGATGACCAACAGACACATGAAAAGATGCTCAACGTCACTAATCATCAGGGAAATGCAAATCAAAACCACAATGAGATATCACCTCACACCTGTTAGAATGGATAGTATAAAAAATACAAGAAACAGCAGGTGTTGGTGAAGATGTAGAGAAAAGGCAATCCTCATGTGCTGTTGGTGGGAATGTAAGTTGTTCCTTCCACTATGGAAAACCATATGGAGGTTCCTCAAAAACTTAAAAATAGAAATACTGGGGCATCTGGGTGGCTCAGCCAGTTAAGCATCTGCCTCAACTCAGGTTGTGACCCCAGGGTCAGGCTTCCTACTCAGTGGGGAGTCTGCCTCTCCATCTGCCCCTCCTCCCCCCGGTGCACTCTCTTGCTCTTTCATTCTTTCAAATTAATAAAATTTTAAGAAAAATATGGTATGGTCCAACAATGTCACCTCTGGTATTTACCTGAATAAAACAAAAACATATTCAAAAATATATATACACCCCTATGTTTCTTGCATTATTTACAATAGCCAAGATATGGAAACAACCTAGGGATCCATCAGTACATGAGTAAGTAAAGATGTGCTACATATGCACATGTATTTGTGTGTTTACACACACACAGTGCAATAGTACTCAGCAATAAAGAAGAATGGAATCTTGCCATTTGCTACAACATATTATTCTGAGTGAAGTACGTCAGAGAAAGACATATTGTATGATTTCAC